TCATGATGGTATGTAATTTTCATTTCCACCTAGCACTATGCATGTAATTCTTTTGAACTTTTACACAAAAAAAAACAAAAAAAAAGTGATAAACAAAAGAAAATAAATGCTAGTTAGGTTGAAAACCCAACAAAATGGGCAATCTAAGCAAAAAGGGCTTATAAAAAATGAGTGAGTTGGAGAGAATGGAAAATGAAAAGAGATGCTAGGATGAAAACCTGAAAAGGCTCCTAGGCAAAATGAGAGATATGAGAGAAATGTTTGTTCTTGCAGGCACTCATTGTATCCTTATGAAGAATAAGAAGATTCAAGATAAAGAAGAAGAGAGGAGGAGAAGAGAAGATAACACTAGGAGGCCATTAAACCCAAGATGCTCTTTTGTAATTTGAGTTTAAAACTCATTTTTTTCTTTGTCATCCTTGGTGGTCTTTGTGTTTGTATATTGTTTTTGTTGAACTGTGGAACTTTTGGACAAACATTGACACTTGTAAACATTTGATCTTACTCGAGACGAGTAAAGGTTTAAGTGTGGGGGAGTTGATACGTTCGTAATTTCCATATTTATGTTTGTGTTTTTAATTAGTTTTGCTTGACCTTTACTTTGGAAATTACACACTTTTGGTGTAATAGATTAGTTTGTTAAATTCTTGTAAATATGTTAGATTAGATATATTCTGAGCTCAAACAGGTATTAATCACTCGAAGTACAGTTGGTGAACCCAAAAAGTGGAAAGAAGGTGCAAAAGTTCAAAGACAAAAGAAGATCCTGAATTTTGGTCTATACTCGGTCGAGTATTAGCTATACTCGATCGGGTATTAGGTTGGAACTTCAAATCGGATCAGATCCGAAGACAAGGGAACATGCCGGGAAGATTTCGGCCACGATTTTATGTCTATACCCGACCGGGTAGATCGACATACCCGATCGGGTATGCCTTTGAATTTCAAACGAAGATCGGTCGAGTATGGTCCGAATACCATTTTCTAAGCATACTCGACCGAGTATTAATATATACTCGATCGGGTATACTTATGGAAAATAGCCTGAAACCGGTCGAGTATACCTCGGATCGAGTGTTACACACGTACTCGATCGGGTACCATGTATATACCCGATGGAGTACCCGAATCCCATCCCAAAAGCCTATAAATACACCACCTTTCCTTCACAAAAAGATATCCAATTCCTTTGTACATCTAAGCTCAATATAGAATAACTCTTTCTTTATATTTTTCATCATGTTTAGTCTCCAAATGAGGAGCTAAACTCTTCCATCTTGGTTTTGCTACTTTGAAGCTTAATGAATTTGTAAGTTGTGAGTTATTTTCTTTAATCTTCTTCCTTGAATATTAATTCTTTCTTTCAAAATACTATCTCTATATCAAAGTTGGGGAGTGTTACTAAGATGACAATTAGTTAACATCTTGACATTGGTTATAGTAATAGCTATTTCTTCCTCTATGTTAATATTGGGGAGTGTTACTAAGATGACAATTAGTTAACATCTTGATATTAATCATAGTAGGATTCATATTCTTTAATATTTTTCCTTGAGTAGTAATTAATTCCTATTCATATTTCATGTTAATATCTTAAACATTACTTAAAGTATCAACTAGTATTGTTTCTCATATTAATTATTACTAGAATCAATCGGTTAATACGCTTGTTATTAATCCGGTTCTTTCAATGGTAGTAAACTTGGAATATTAATGCATGCATCTCATGGTTAATATGCCAAGGGGAATTAATTATATTGATTAAACCAATAAACCGCTTGTGTTGAGGTTATCAATCTCAATCGTTTTCATCTTAAGTTTATTGCTACTATCAAGTTAATATACGACGCTTGTTCTATATTGACTCGATAGTAAGTTTTGTTAATGAACGCATCTCGTTATTAATAACTAACCTCGATGAACTGGATATACTCCTCGATTGAGTATTCGAGAGGAAGATAGTTAAAGATATAACCGGGATCGATGAACATTTCATTAAGTGGATAAAAGCAAAACCAAGTCTTCATCTCATTGAATTAAACTCATATAGGTTGTTTATCTTAGTGTTTTTAAAGCAAACAAATCTAAACCCCCCTTTTTGTTACTATTTATATAAAAGAAAAGTATTCCTTTCCCTGTGGATACGAACCTTACTACACTATACTACGTATTAGTGTCGTATTGATTAATTATTTTGAGTGCACCTAACGACGAGTGCACGTCAGGGATCAACGAACATTTCATTAAGTGGATAAAAGCAAAACCAAGTCCTCATCTCATTAAATTAAACTCATATAGGTTGCTTATCTTAGTGTTTTTAAAGCAAACAAATCTAAACCCCCCTTGTTACTACTTATATAAAAGAAAAGTATTCATTTCCCTGTGGATACGAACCTTACTTCGTTATACTACGTATATTCGTTGTATTGTATTTATTTTGAGTGCACCTCACGACAAGTGCACGTCATAAAGCTCACAAACGGTGTCCTTAAGTGAGTTAGTTGGCTCCTCTGTAGGCCCATTTTCTCGAACGATTGTAGATACAATACGTTCACACTGCTCCCAGTGTCTACCAACACTCGGTGGATCAATGCATTATCTATACACATACTTACGACCTATTCGTCCCTGTGCGGGCTTGGTGAATTGGGCCAATCCGCAGGTTCGAATGTGATCTGCTCCATTCCGCCTTTCTTTTGGGGTGGAGTGGATATGAAGCCCACATAGAGGCTTCGTTCGAATTTCTTCCGTTCGGCGTTCGAGTCATCTGTCTCCCCACCCCCAAATATAACCTTTACCTCCATGCGGGGCTTTTTGCCCAGGTTCCACGAACCTTCTGGTTCATCTCTGGGAGGAATATACACATCATTCCTGGGCCGAGCATCACGTTGAGCATCCCATCTCCAGCTGTTGGGTTTTTTGACCGGCTTCAGAATGCCTACAACATTCGGGTCTTTATTCACATATTTGTCCAGATGACCCCGCTGGATCAATTCCTCAATTGCTATCTGTAATGCCCGACAGGAATGAGTGGAGTGACTCTTCCTGTTGTGGTATTTACAAAAGGCATTTTCATCTGCCCCCATGTAATTCTTGGAATCAGTTAGAAGGGGAATGTTGTCCTTCTCATTCTGATAAATGGTCGCAACAGTCAGGACCATGATTTCCTCCTCCAGAGCCGCATGCTTTCGGGACCTATCCAGCACTTCGAAATATACAATGCCCGGATTCTTTTTTAAGTCTTTATACAGTTCACCCGTTCGGAGAGCGTTAGTGAATAGGGTGATGGCTGTATCATCCGTCATGTTCCCAACTTTTAGGATTTCATCCCTCCATCGTTTCAGGAATTGATTCAGGGTCTCCTTTGGCCCCTGTTTGACACTGGTAAGGTAACTGAAATGCTGTTTTGGAGTGGTACTGGAGGCAAACTGGGCCATGAATAAAGATAATAATCCGGCAAAGTTGCCGATCGATCCTGGATGCAGAGTCCCGAACCATTACTGAGCAGGTCCCCTGAGTGTGCTGAAGAAAAGTCGGCAAATAGCCGCCTCTGTTGTCCCTAACAGCATGAGCCCCCCTTGGTAACTCCTCAAATGCACATGGGGCTCTCCCGCCCCGTCATATATCTCACCGGTCGGCGGTTTGGCATCTCTGTGGATTTCATCATCCATTATTTTCCGGGTGAAGGGGGAAGTGATCCCAACTCGCACCGGGGTAGGTTGTAGAGGTGCCCTATTTATTTGTTCCCTCATTTCGTTCATCCGCCTCCTCATTTCGGCCATCTCTTCCTCCTAGGCCGTAAGGGGAGGTGGTGGGGGAGTTCCCAGATTAACAAATTCCCCAGTTCCTTTTGGTGGGGTTTCTCTTTGATTCTGACGTCCCTGTCTGGATCGGGTGTTATCATGTTCATAACATAAATGGCGCCCAACCGGCGTATCTCTTCTAGCTCGTGACCCGGTCGGGGTGTGGTCACTGTGAGTGTGATGCCTACCCCTAGACATATGAGCCCTTCTGTACTCTCCCCGGTGTGCTCGGGAATGATTTGAAGCCATGGTGGTTTATGTATCGGTAGTTTCCTCTTGGAATGATTGCATCGTGGACGGGGTCGTGTATTTGGTTTCTGCCGTATAGCTGGACCGTCCCCCATCCTGCTCATCCACCAGGTGCTGCATGAAGAAATCCCCATCATAGTGCGGGTAGGATCCTCGACTGGATTGCCCTTGGGAGGTCCGGCTCTCCCCGCGTCTTCCTGAGGTTTCACCGGTGTGATGAGAAGTGATTCTGACCATTTTGATAATAGGTTGTTTTAGGTGAGTGATTGGTGTGAAACTTTTTGTTTGTTTCCCACAGACGACGCCAATGTTGAAGTTAAGCCCCGCAGATCCAAAAGCCCAACACGAACTTTGGATATTTCAGGAAATGATCACGAATTCAGTGTATAAGAAAATATAAAAGATGGATAATATAACGCTCAAAAGACCACTTGTATTAGATAATTCGGTGATTACACAAGAACTTCCCGAACGGTACGTCGGGATAGTAATTAAGCTATTCTAGGCTTTGAGTCTAAAAAATCTAACCCTTTACAATGAAATTAATCTTTCTATTTATACTAATGGAGGGTATGGGGTGCTTCATGCTGATTGGTTGCTAATCCAGCCACTTGAAAGCCCACATTCCCACTTGCTGCCGCCATACTCTAGCAATGAATGCTTCCTGCCACTTGCTGGATGCCCGTTGCCCGAACGGGTAATGGACCCTGCTGGAATTATCATTGATCTGGCCGAAGTACATTGAATGACCCGAACCCCGTCCGTTACATATTTCTTCCTGAGCTTGTTCATCTTCTGGATTCTGGGCCCGTTTATTGGACTGGATATATTGGGCCTTTGATCCGGGTATTGGGCCTTCGGCCCAATATCCCAACAACTGCCATCCATAGGATTTCGATCTAGGGTTTATGTTTTTTTTAAATATTATTTGAATTTGAGGTTATTGCTGCTTAGTTTGCCTGTTTTATCTACGGGCTTAATAGATATAACACTGTGAGTATATTGTTGAACATCTGTGAGATTAGTACTACGTTTCTTTTGCTTTTTTACAGGCAACTGATCCAAGAACATGAATGGTTTTGTTTAAAATGTTGAATCCTGCCCTTTTTAATGATATCAATAGATGCATTTCAACGGGTAAAGAGGTATGTTAGGATGCTATTGTCTGCAAGTCCCTTGGTTTGTTACATATTGTCATATTCCCCTAAGTTGTTCCCCGAGTTTATGCTACCCGCTCTTTCGAATAGGCCAATGTTTATCATGCTACAAAATCTGATGGACAGGAACTTGCTATCTTATTTACAAGATTTCAATTCCTGTATTTAAGAATGACATTGTTTTTAGCATTTGATTCACTGTTCACTTCTATTAATCACATATTTCAGTTGATTTCATAATCTATGTTATAGTTATGTTCTTTATTTGTATTATGCTTTATGTCATTGTGATAATTACATTTTAACTTCCTTAAATTATAACTATAAACCAGCCATTTTATTATTTATATCACTCCTCCAGGGATACAGAGCGATTTATTCAGAGCGAGTATCGGTTCAGATTTGGATATTGTAAGCACTTTCATATGAAAATGGTTAAGAAATGGGCGAAGAAAGAACCGAGAAATCAAATGAGGTAATGCAGTCTTGTCACGAACCCTTCAGTTCTTTGCAAGCAGATCGAAATTGAATATCCCATTGGTAAGTTTCTTTCTCTTTAATTTTGAGCGGCTGAGTCATCTTCTTGCCAAGACTGCGCTGTACCATAGTGGTCAAATCATGCAATAAAACAATCTAAAGTAAGACAATGAACTAATAAGATGTTCAATGGTTACATTCATAGATTCTGTATTTTTGTTCTGCTCTGACATGGTTTATTTTCTGTTTTGAATTTGCATGTTTTGTGTGTATGATGGGGGTGGGGGTGATGTGAAGTTAAACTATTGCATTTATCTACACCGGCAGGAGGAAATGAAGTGTTTCATGCCATGCATTGTTGAAATTAAGGAAGAATCAAGGGCAGTGAAGTCAAATTTGGCTATCCCTTCACCTTCTGCCTTTCTTGATGAGCATGATCTTGCATCTACTTCTCTGAATGCCTCAGACTCCACCACGAGTACAGAATCTTCCAGGAGCAGGACAACCCAGTTTCCTAATTCATCTAAACGCTCCTCAGACCTCGGGCAGTTTACATTCTCAGAACTGAAAGAAGCAACAAAAAAGTTTAGTAGATAAACCAAGATTGAGGAGGGTGGGTTTGGATCTGTCTACATGGGAACAGTTAGTAGTTTTGAAGATCCATGGAAGTGTTTTAAGAATCTTATTTCAGCCTTTGCCATTTTCTTATCTAAAACTTGCTTATATTTACTCTTTTTTGCAAGTCTTTTACGAGTCTTTTTGCAGAGAATATAAGAGAGCCACCTTCTGCAGAACTTTGAAGAACCATTCAATTCTATTTAGTCTTAAGTGTCTTTTTGCTAGACTTTGCCTTTCTGTGTATGTATTTTTTTGTATTTAGTTTCAGAGTATGTATTTTTTATATTCTGTGTATACCTTATGGAAAACAAAGTAATAATGCACTGGTTGGTTATTTAAATAATCTACACAGTGCGTCTTTTTTTTAATTATAAAAGGCACTTACAACGTTAGTTATACGTGACAACTGACGTAATATGCATTTTTTTTTATTTTTTTGAAATTATATTCAACGTCGGTTTTGTTAAATAACTGACGTAACATGTATTTATTTTATTTTTTTGAAAATATATGTTACGTCGATTTTTTATAAAACCGACGTGGAAGGTAACTTTTTACGTTGGTTTTATAACCGATGTTATAGAGTCTAACCTATAACGTCTCTCACTTACACGTCGGTTTCAGAACCGACGTTAAAAGTATAAAATAACCGACGTTATATGTTCCTTCTCTAGCACTGGATTTAAATTTGATATAACATGAGATTTCATTTTTCATATGTGTGAGTTATGTTTATAGACATTATCAGGAGTGCTTACATTAGATAGTATATGAAGTTACATCTTCTATCTTATGCGGAAGTGACATTTGCTTGTGCGTGAGTTACATCTGTCTATGCGTCAGTTACATTTGGGCTTGCCTCAACAAGTTACATTTTACAAACACCTAAATCAGATTTTCCATTAACGCGAGTTACATTTTTCATAATACGAGTTACATTGCAACGAGTTACATTTTGACAAAACACCTATATCTTTGTCAAAAAATGTGATTTTGAAAAAAACATTTTTATGATCTTAATATTAAAAATAGAACATATTCACTATTTAAGTAAACTCTTTCTATGAAAAAAAATCACTTTTTTGCAAGAAAAAATGTTAGTGCAGGAAAAAGGAATTATAATTAAGAAAATACATTATTCACTATTTACGTAAAGTAATTGAGCAATTAGACTCGTTATTTTCATTGAAATCAATGTTTTATTTCTTATAATCCGTATTAGACAAGTTACATTTCGACTTGCCTACAGTTACATTTGTTATCAGCATGAGCTACATATCTTTACACGCGAGTTACATCATTCTGTTACTGGACAATGGAAAAAACAAAAAAAAAAGTTACTCTTCACACGTGTTTTTCATGTGAGAGTAGTATGCTTCATCATGGGCTGCTCCCACATTATAACAACTGCTATTTGGGGGTTAAAATTCGTTTTGATAATTACTTAGATCTTAAATTTAATCAACAAGATTAATCTCATAAATTAAAACTTCTTTTTGGGGAGATTTCTCTAAAAAATGATTAAATAAAACCAAAACTACAATAATAGGAGTTTAAAGTTTAAATTCTCAAAATAGATTAATATTTCCTATTCTACCTTTTCCTTTGTCATTCTTAATAGACCATAAAAAAATTAAAATAAAAAATGAAAAAAGTAAAAATAAATAAAATATACATGCCTCAATCACACCACATTCCGGCACCGCTACCCTCTGATCGGTGAAAAAGAATGCGTGGTTGAAAATGACAAGTTACAAAATGATCACCTTTTTTGAAATTGATTTGAATGTACTACCATGTAGTATGAAAAATGCTCTTTGTACACGTCAATTTGTACACGTCATTGTACACGCCGGTCAAAGTGTCTGTATACAATGAAACACTTCTTTTGTTCACGCCAGTCAGATTGTTTGTATCATAGATAATTTAAATTGTTTGTGATGCAGAAATTTTTTTTGTTTGCGTGAAAATTAGTTTTCTTCATAAAATCCAGATCAAATTATGTATGCACATACAATTTGACCGGAGTGTACAATGGCGTGTACAAATAATGCCGCGTACACAAAGCAAAACTGATGTACTACCTCTGTCACCCTAATATTGGGATGAAAAGGGGTACGGTGACACAATTTTTAAGAAAATGAGTGTGTTGTTGATATTAATTGATAAAGTAAAAATAAAGTAAGAATAAAGTAACAATTTTGAGTCACACAAACTTATGAAATTTCCGAAAAAGTTATATGAGACGATATTAGCTGGACGGGGAGTAACATTTAATGAAATTGCTCTCAATAGGACCAATATATGTTTATCTAAAAAGCACAAATAGGACTACTATTTTATTATCCCCCTGGGGGTAGGACTTAACATTGATTTCAACCCTAAATACCTCTAAAGGTATTAATGTATTATTCATAATGAATGTCGTCTAAATTCATAATAAAATCATAAAAAGTAATTAAAAATCGTAAAAAATACTAAAAAATTCGTAAAAAATAAAAAAAAATTAATAAAAATACTTAATAAAATAATTTTTTTTACAAAAAAATTCTTTTGATTTTTTTAAATAGTAAAAATCCATAAAAAATTCAAAAAATATGGATACCTTTCGCACCGCTTCCCAGCACCACCACCCCGACAGGTGAAAATTTTGCCATTTATTTCTAAAAATGTCAAGAAAATGACATTATTACTCTTTGTAATGCCAAAATTTTCATTGAATTTTTCATTATTATTGCATTACTAAAAATGATGAAAGGTTTCCAACCAGTGAGGGAGGCGGTGGTGTTGGCAAAGACGGCGGCATTTTTTATATGTTTTCTTTAAAAAAATTAATTTTTAATTTTATACATGTTTTATAATTTTTTACTATTTTTGATGGTTTTATATAATTTTTACGATTCTTTTATGATTCTACTATTAATTAAGATATTTCAAAAGTTACAAGGATATATATGCGAACATGTATAGCCCTACCTTGAGGAATTTAAAAGATATACTCACACTTGTGCTCCTAAGCCACTATTTTTCCAATTTAAGCAATCTGCTCACTTTGCAAAAATAGGACCTAAAAATAAACTATGTTTTCATATGACTAATTATATGTGTCTTGGACAAATATACCCTTATAGCTAGTGAAATGTTTTAATTCTTAATAACATAATATAAAATAATAAAAATTCGTAAAAAATACTAAAAAATTAATAAAAATATTTCGATAATAATAATTTATTTATTTTATTTGTTTCAAATAATTAAAAAAATATACGAAGTATATTTTTTTTAAAATTAAAAACTCAATAAAATAAAATAAAATTCACCACCGCCCCCCGCCGCCCCTGCGCCACCACCTCCAGTCACCAGGGGTAAAAAATGCCATGTTCATTACGAATGCCATATTTATGACAGAAAACAATGAAAATGTTGGCATTCTCAAAGAGAAATATGCCATGTTATTGGCATTTTCAGGAAAAAATGACAGTTTTTTCACCGGACGGAGATGGTTGTACAGGGAGGAAGTACAGGCGGTGGGAAAGGCATCCATATTTTTTTTAATTTTTTATGGAGTTTTACTATTTTTTATTAATTTTTTAAAAAAACTAAAAATTAAAAAAAATAATAATAAATATTTATTATTTTTTTAATTATTTTTCTACGAAGTTTTGAATTTTTTTCGAATTTATTATGAATTAAACATTTAATTAACTCATATTTAAAAGAAGGGTAAGAATGAAATGAAAAAATAGGTATGTTTCTGATATGACAGATATGGTCCTATTTTGAAAAGAAAAACATAATAAGTCATATTTTGAGTTTTTGCCATAATTGTAGTGTTATTTCACTTATGTGAGTGAATTGCCGCTCGTATGACAAAAGTCTTGGTCTTTCCCAAAATATGACTTCAAAGTTTTATTTCCTAATCTATGTTACCCGTAACCTTCCGTCATACGCTTCCCATACGGCTAATTTTTTTTATTCCTTCGCTACCCTTCCGTCAAACCTACGGTCATAGTACATTCATTCCAAAACCGTTTAAGCATTTATTTCACAATCTCCAATTAGGTAACCGTTTTCCATCTGCGATTACCTCAATTCTTCAACCTTCTTCCAAATAACGGTTTCCTTCTTCTATTCGTTCTTCCTGGTTGGGCTTCGTGGTTCGGAAATTATGGAAATCACCTGTTCTCGAAATCAATCTCCAAACATACATGTCTTGATGAACGTAGATGGTCAATGGTGGTCTAACGTTCACTTTCAGAGCTCAAGCTCCATCGCCATTGATATTCCTTTCTCCTGCAAGTGGATTGACTTTTGTGCGATTATATACGATTCATTGGGCGTAAGAGATTGTGAACGTGGTATACGTATTTCATATGTATTTGAAGCATTCTAGCTTGATGTTTTATCTGCAAATTAAAAGCATTCAATCGGACTTCAATAAGCTTCCTCTGTGTGTAGAGTTTCTTCAACCGTTTCAAGGTTTGTCAAATATTTCTCCATGTTAATTTCGCTTGCAATTCAATTTATCTGCATTTTTTGTAATTACTTTTATTTTGATTTCAAAGGATGTACTCAAAGTGTGTCAAATACGGTTAATTACTCTAGTTCCGATGATGAAGTTTTTGATGTCTTTGAGGATTGTGATTTATTTCAGCAGCAGATGAACAAACAATGCACTGTAGTGATGTTTTTTCTCCCTCATCCAGCATTGAGTACTCTGATTTCACTCCTTTGTCTTTTGATGAAGATGTTAACAATGATGAGTTAACATCTTCTTTTGAGGTTCCTCTCAGATCTTTTGTCCCCCACTTTGATCCCACCCGTCTTGCTGTGGACGCCATATATAAAAACAAGGAGTTTAGTTTTAATTTGAAGATGTATGCAATTACTAAATTTTTCCAATACCGAACAAAGTCATCTTCTCCTAAGGTGTTACATGATATTTGTTTGGATCCTGATTTTCTGTTGGCTGTTCGTGGAGTTCGCTTGGATGAAAGTGGCTTGTTTCAGGTGCGTAGGTTAGTGACTTTTTATCTTTGCTTCTGTATTTTTTTAGACATGCTTATTGTATGACTTACAATACTTATTGTTTGCATAATCTTTACATTATTTAATGCAGTGCTATTGCACTTATAAGCTGCAGCTAATGAAACTTGTTAGACCTTATATTTTGTATTTTTACTTGTATAGCCTTGTGAAGTTCCATATTTTTTCTGAAGTTTGGTGTCATCATCTGCATTAAAGTTATACAATACAATGAATGAATAAATTCTATCATTTTTATATTTGTGTTTCTTTATTAAAATTGTCTACTTTTGTTTTTTCCCCACTTTTACATCCTTGTGAAGTTCGAAATTGCGGTTGTACTTAGTTTTTATTATCTGCACTACATTTATGCACCTTAATGAATGCATCATTACATGCAGTTAATGCGATCTGTTCTTGTTCCTTTTCAGATTTGATAACGACCATACCTGTCCCATTGATATTAGACAAGCTAATAGTCGTCAGGCATCTTCCTCTCTTATTGCTGAACTCATCAAGCATGAATATGATGACTTGTGTGAAAGAGCTTACACACCTCAGTCAATCATTACAGATATGCGAAGATTGCATGGAATTGTGATGTCATATAAAAAGGCTTGGTTTGCAAGGGAAATTGCAATGCAATTGTCTCGGGGATCTGAAAAGGAGTCGTACAGTAGACTTCCATCTTTGTGCTACATGCTTGATAAAGCAAATCCAGGTTTAGTTGTTTCATATTCTTGTAATGAAAATGGAGAATTTCAGAATTTTTTTATGTCTCTTGGTCCATGGAGAGTTGGACAGGAGAAGTGCATTCCAGTTATTATTATTGATGGTTCGTTTTTGAAATCGTATTACAAAGGAACACTACTCACGGCATGCACGCAAGATGCTAACAAGCAGATTTTTCCACTTGCATTTGGTATTTGCAGTGTTGAAAATACCGTTAACTGGACATGGTTTTTCAACATGTTGAAGAATTGTCTCAAGCTTAGAGATAATTTGTATGTGGTGTCTGATCGTCATGAAGGAATCATAAATGCGGTTCGTTCTGTTTTCAATATGCTGAACATGGATATTGTGTTTATCATATATTGGGCAATATAAAATCAAAATTTCGAGGTTCTGCAAAGGTGTTGTCTTGGAAATTCTTACAAGCAGCGAGAGCGGGTTCAGTTTATGAATGTGAAGAGTACCTTTCCAGACTTGATTATGATGACCCCGGTATACGTAAATACTTGCAAAACATTGGTAATGACAAGTGGTCTCGTGCATACGCTAGCCGCAACCGCTATTTTGTCATGATGTCTAACAATGCAGAGTCTCTGAATGTTGTTTTTGTCAAGGCGCGTGAGTATCCCATCTGTAAATTGTTTGAGTTTATAGTACGAACAATGCAAACATGGTTCTGTGAACGCAGAGAAGCGACTGCATCAAACAAATTTCGGCTCTCTGCTTACTTTGAGGCGCAATTACAGCTATCGCAATCAAATGCTGCATTAATGCAGGTACTTGAATGCACTCATACTGTACTGCATTCTTGACTACTTGTTATTTCTTTATATAATTATCATCTTCCGTTTTATGTTACACGTTCCATTTTTTTATTTTTTATAGGTCCGGCCATCATGTATCTTTGAATTTGAAATCTTTGATGTGAAAGGAAGGTCATATATTGTCAATTTAAGAGAAGACACTTGTACATGCCGTGAATTTGAACTTGATGGCTTCATATGTGTTCATGTCGTTGCTGCAATCCATTCTCGTCATGGACTTTCTTCTTATGACTATATCCATGAATATTATACTACACATAAATGGTTTTCAGCTTACGAGGGCATCATTCATCCCATTGGTAGTCCCGATTGTCTGATTGTTCCCCATGACATATTAGAAGTCATTTGCAGCCCTCCCTCTTGTTCTAATAGACCTCCCGGAAGACCCAAAAAGCGACGTATTCCATCCACCGGTGAACATGTGCGTCAACAAAAGTGTACACGTGTAACACCCCGGCCCCGTAGGCCCCGAGGTAGTTACTTCGGGCCTCTAGTACTGTCCTCACAAACCACCACGAACCTTTACCGCGCACTTTGTCCTCACTCATGCGCGCCCTGAGAAACTTCCCAGGGGGTCACCCATCCCAAGACTACTCCCGTACAAGCACGCTTAACTTTGGAGTTCTTGGGTGATGAGCTCCCTTAAAAGGAGATGCACCTCTGTTGGTATGAGTAGTACTATTAATCCTCTTATATTAATCTCGGGTATTACAATCACCCCCACTTAGGATCGCAACGTCCTCGTTGTGCCCTTAACAATCTCAATCAACCACCAGAATCTTGCCCTGCTAAGTGACCGCCCGATATCCAACGGGTCAGCACACTGTCGCAGGGTTGCTCTGATACCATTTGTAACACCCCGGCCCCGTAGGCCCCGAGGTAGTTACTTCGGGCCTCTAATACTGTCCTCACAAACCACCATGAGCCTTTACCGCGCACTTTGTCCTCACTCATGGGCGCCCTGAGATACTTCCCAGGGGGTCACCCATCCCAAGACTACTCCCGTAGAAGCACGCTTAACTTTGGAGTTCTTGGGTGATGAGCTCCCTTAAAAGGAGATGCACATCTGTTGGTATGAGTAGTACTATTAATCCTCTTATATTAATCTCGGGTATTACAACACGTTGCTCAATGGTTGGTCACAATAGAAAGACATGCCGAAATCCCATTCCGCGCACTCGCTCCTAATGCCGAATGAGTGATCTTGATAATCTTTTTCCCTCATCTTTTTTTTCCTAGTTTTTTTTATCCTTATATATATATATATATATATATATATATATATATTTATAAGCATTATTTGCAACCTTTTTATTTTATCATTTATATATATATATATATATATATATATATATATATATATATATATATATATATATATATCTTTTTTATATTATCTTTTCATAATAGCTTATCTTTTTATCTTTATTCCTTCTTTTCCTTTTGGTTGTGATATCATGTATCGATTCATGTTAGCCGACCCCAATATCTTTTGGGACTAAGGCTTGGATGTTGTTGTTGTTGTTGATGCTTTACATTTCAGTTTACAAGTGATATAGATGTTAATAAACTTCTGTGTTTGAATATGTTTTTTTGCTGACGTATTACAGTAATAAATGTAGTATTCATCTGTATTGATGACCATTCTTATAAATGTAATGTCTCTTTACATGTTTTTGTGTACTCGTTCTAACATTACAAGTGTTTTATTCACTTGATATTCCAAATCAGTTGGTTTGTAATTACACACATGTTCTTTTGATTATATGTTTCTTATTACAAGTATGTTTTCAATTATTTGTACGTATTGCAGTTTGCATCTGTAATGATTACTATTCATATAAACCCAATGTTACGTGTTTACGTATTCAGTCAAAGATTAAAACCTCCTTCAAATCATTTTGAAAAATACATATATCTAACATACTAAAACTAATTTTCATTGCTACAATGTTGTTTTCATGAAATGAATGTATGTTTTTTTGTACTTCAGATTAACGAAAAGCACATGTCCCAACTATGTGCATTAATCTTACGATGTACACTACTGCATTATATGACTAACGTAGAAAATAGTCATATTACTTCACTGCTTATTAAGCACACTTTTCAATGTAAAACAGTCAATACTTCACAAGCAATGTTTTGTTCAATCCAAACAAAAACCATATTAAATCGTAATACAACAATACTTGAGTTTAATCAAAATCAAGCATCCCCAGTAAAAGCAAATTTCAGTTCATTACACATTTCTCAAAGACATTCATTCAACTCCATTGACATTCACCAGTCCATTGTAATGCAAGATCTCAGTGACAAACTTCTTTCGGTAAGTCCACATGTCCCTGGAATTCACTTCATTAACATCTCTCCCCATCATTAGGTACTCCGCCATTTTAAGTACAAATAGTCCACAACTATCCCTGCGCATTTGAAAAAAATTACAATGTTAATTATGTACCAATGCACATTTTATTTTTAAGAAATTCAATCCACTTACCCGTCAACACAATATCGCTGCACACTTTGGAACCTTATCAAGCAAACCAGACCACACAATATCACCCCATGGAAACTTATTGAATGCATCAATGTCATCTACCAGGTTCATGTATGCTGTAGGCACTTTGAGTGACGACTGGTTACCTAGTATGTAGTTACCAAGAACGTGCATGCAACAATCCTAACTTCACTGCATCTAATGGTTGCATTTCATCTCTTCTATTATTAATGGATTCAAATGCTTGCCGTAGGTTTCCCCGGTCAAGACTCATTTTTCCACTAAAGTACCTTCTCCGCAGTTCCCCATCACAACGAGTACTGATAGCTGGTATGTTCCTGCCAAACTCAAATCCAATTATCAAGGTAAGGTCTTTTTTCTTCATTGCAACTAGTCTTTCTCCAATTTGAAACTGAATTTCATTTTTCACAGTCATCTCTTCCATAGGTGCAACATGATTACCTATTAGCATGCATATCAGCTGTGCATTTAACCATTTCAGATTTCCTACATCTAACATGTAACCAAACACGGTCTCCCTAAACAGTTTTACTTCTTCTTCAGTCAATACACTCTTAATACTTTCAACAGCCTTCACTGAATTGCAGAAACTACTAACTCTCATGTCGTCTCTTCCCTCCAGAACTTCTGCATTACAATATCGCTTATATGCCTAGTACAATACATAAATACAGGTTAAGACCTCCAATAATGACACTATAGTCTGTTTTTTGCATTAATTAATATAATTAAAGGTGCAAAATAAGTGAATTTCATGTTTTCATGCTTACTCCAATTTCCAAGTTACACCACGCAGACTACTTTACCTAAAAAACAACTTAAAATTGATTACTCTAACAAAATAACAAACATGGCATACACCACATGCGAACACTACACGCAATGGTCTATCACACTAAAATAACTAATATTTGCAATTTTACAGTTCAATGCACAAATTTACTTAGCTTAGTTTTCAATTTCCTCAGTGCACATATTTGTTTAGCAAAATTGCAATTTCAACAACCAAAACTTTGATTACATGCACTTAAAGCCATATTCCAAATAACTAAAATATACATTATTAGACATACAACAAAATACAATGATCCAAACCACAACAAAATTCAATGATTATATCTAGTTCACTGCACACAACATATTACATTTAACAAATACACACACTTAGGCTGATCTATCATACTAAATCAAACAATGCGTGCAATAATACGTTTCAATGCACACAATTGCTTTGCTTAATTTGAAAAGTGTAACAATCAAAACATAGACTAAGTGCAGTGAAGCCATATTTCAATCCATATTTCCAAATTACTCAACCACTCTGACTTCAACCCATCCTAGACCTAACAATACACACATTAAACAACAACAATATCCACACATTGCCAAATGACATCAATTCATGCACTCGATTCGCAAATATGATGATTTCACTAGCAAAAATGTTCGTTAAAACACCGCATTGAAATAACTTCGTGAACAAACAAATTGATAAAACTCACCACGCCATTGATTTTGACGATCTCGTCCAATTCATCGTTGTTTCGTCGCGAGTTCCATTTTTTCCTCACCATTTTTCACCTTCATTCGTTGCTCCATGGTTTTTGAGTTCCGGCACTCATTTTTACTAAATTGGCTTCATCTCTTCCATTAATGCAATGTAGTTTTAGCATTTAACTGCTCTGCACGATGACTTTGAAAAAGGTGCTCCGCCGAATTTTACTCTGCACGATGACTTGCAGTTGAGGTTTTGCGTTTCAGTTTCTTTTTTTTCGATGCTCGTGTGTTTCCTCTTTGGGGGTTATTTTCGTACTTCAATAATTCGGCCGTTTTTTGTTTCATCTTTTTGGTCGTAGGAACGACTAATAACAACTCAAATCATAGATTAGAAATTCTACCTAGTTTTGGTAATATATGGGTATTTTTCTCTAGTTATTTGGAGTAATTTCTAGGGACCCTAATTTCTGAATATTTAAGCAAAAACACCATCTAGGCCACACCCCGTCGTAGAATCTACTGTTTCAGGAGCCATCGGGATGATGAACAGCCGCCAATACGTGTAGTAGATTCTTCCACCACATCAGTCGCGCGTGACCGACACAACGATGTTTGCCTCATCAGCCACAGCCCCACAGGCGGAAGCGGCGGCTTCTTCTTCACATTACTCCTTCCGCTCTTCCTGGGGCGACGGCGGCCGTCGCAGCAGGCGGCCTGACAGCTAGTCTCTATGTAGTGGTCAAGCAACATAGATATTCTGTGGACCTCATACTTATCAAGAAGATCAGAGATAAAAGCATGGCCCGGACTCGGAGAAGTGGTTGTCACCGTAGCCGGCGGCGTTGCCACTACCTTTTCATCGGTTTCTTCCACTACTACTTGACGGCGACTTCCTATACCTTTTAGCTTATCCCTGCTGATCGATGCTGTGGATTTACTCAAAAGGTTATTATTAGCAGAGCTCGAATTAACAATCCATGATGATGCTGATGATGATGATGACAGTTTTTGGGTATTTACAGATGGACTTTTCTGATTGAAACATGATGATGATGAAGAAGATGATTCCTGTTGAAGAAACGAGGAGAGCGTAGCACATGCTGCTGTTGATTTATTCACACTGGTTTCTCTACTTTTTCTGTGGTTAAAGGGCGGAGAGGCTAGTGAAGATGAAGAAGATGAGGAAGATGGCAGCATGATAGGGCCTTTATTATTAATAGCTTAGTTTTAGTGTGATATGATGAGCGGCAGCAAGCCCAGAGATGAAGAAGAATGCGAATGTATATAAATAGAGTTTTTGCCATTTTTGGTCACTCGACTATTATGTCAATGACACTTTTGGTACTCGACTTCTAATTTTTTCATTTTTAGTCACTACTACATTTTTAGACCTAATGTAACATTAATGATGTAACATATCTATAATAGTGTTACCTATTTCTCTAATGTAACACTTTTTAGACCTAGTGTAACACTTTCTAGAAGTATAAGTGTTACATTATGTACTATAAAGTGTTACAATAGGTCAAATGCAACACCAGCAAATGTAATGGTAAAAAAATGTTACATTTTCTCTAATGTAACACTTTTCAGAGAAAATGTAACATTTTTTTACCATTACATTTGTTGGTGTTGCATTTGACCTATTGTAACACTTTATAGTACCTAATGTAACACTTATACTTCTAGAAAGTGTTGCACTAGGTCTAAAAAGTGTTACATTAGAGAAATAGGTAACACTATTATATATATGTTACATCTCTAATGTTACATTAGGTCTAAAAATGTAGTAGTGAGTTCTCGACTATTGTGCTAGAGACACTTTTATTCCTCGACTTCAAGGTTTCCCACATTTAGTCCCTGAGTATTGTCAAATTGACACTTTTAGTCCTCCCATTATGATTTTAACACAATAAGTGGAGGACTAAAAATGTCACTATTATAATAGTTGAAATTTTCAAAGATGGGTACCAAAAGTGTCTCTAGCGCAATAGTCAAGGACTAAAAATGGAAAAAATCAAAGTCGAGTACCAAAAATGTCAATGACATAATAGTCGGAGGACTAAAAGTGGAAAAAACTCTATATAAACACTATTTGTATGTCTTATTATCCCGGATCCGTTTTAATCGCAACATGTTGAATTTTACACTATTTACATGCTCTACTTTGACTATATTTTACGCTACTATTTTATGATGATTTTTTTTTAAAAAAATATTGTTCAATTCATCTCATTACAAATTTTCAATTTTTTTTAATATTTTTTTACTAATAGAATTAAGATATAATTACGGTCAAAGACGTGCGTTCACAAATGTGAAATGTTGGTCGTTCCAATTAAAAAAGAACGGATGGAGTATTAAACAATGGAAGTCTGTTATCAAATACTTTATTCCTAAAATAATATAATTAGAATTGTGTGGTTCAGATTTGTACAAATGAGAAAAAATATTAGAATCCACCGATTAATTGATTAAAATTGAAATTGATAAAGTTTTCTTGACATCCAAAAAATGAAACATCATAAATTTTTTTGAGAAGAAGTAATAAGGGATAATTTGAGTTTGCACCCCATTTTTTTGTCCAAATTGGACTTTGCACCCTGTTTTTAAAAATCTTTGTTTTTGCACACTAACCCCATATGAAAAGACAAAAATATCCTCGATCAAGAATATGTTGATGACCAACAAAATTGTTAATGGAGGAGCATTTTTGTCTTTTCAAATGGGGTTAGAGTGCAAAAACAAAGTTTTTTAAAAACGGGGTACAAAGTCCAATTTGCACAATAAAATGGGGTGCAAACTCAAATTATTATCCCAAGTAATAAATAAAAATGTTGTGTCATCATTTGATAGATGCTATAATATGCTAGAAATGCTGCCCACAAAAGTTCTATTAATCAATTTTATTATTTGGTTATTCAAATGTATGAATGAAAATAAAATTAAGTTGTTTTGTAGTTATCTCTATATTCACTACATGATTCAAGTATAAATTTATAATCACTTCTAGCCAATATTTCTAACGTATTACATATAGTCTCGATTCAACAATAACACAAACATATTTGATTGACATGAGATTCAATCAGTGGCAGATCTTCTTTGTTCAATGGTGTTCTTTTTGGACACTCAAAATTTTGGAAATAATATACGGAGTACAAAAATACACATGTATAATTTTATCAATAATTTATACTGTATATTACTCCCTCCGATCCCAAATTGATGATCATATATTTTTTGGGCTCAAATATTAAGAAAGAGTGGTAGAAAGACTCATATAACCTTACTTTATTATACTACGTATTATTTACTCATTTACTTTTAGTGTTCATTTATTGTACTGTCTTTTACTCCTCTTTGTTGCACTGTATTTTTAAGAGGGATGCCTCTTTGAAGTGGTTTTGGTTTGGTCCCCCACTTCTTCTGTACTCGTTTGATTTTATTAATAAAACTTTGGTAAATGTTCCCCGACATTTACCCCACTGATTTTGGTGGTTTGCTTTCGGGGTTTAAAAAAAGAAGCATGACTATCACTTTAGGACACCACAAATAGGAAATAGAGTTATACAGGACCATCATTCTGGGATAGAGGTAGAATACTTTAATGTAATACTTTCTTTAATTTTAATCCTATTTTCTATTTTTTCTTTGTTTTTGAAAAAGTTATACCCCTCCGCCCCCTATTATTAATTATTGTCACATTGCGGTTTACGATGTTTGACTGACGATAAAGCAAACATATCCATTTCCGCACTAGAATTATTTTTAGAAAAAAATTGCATATTCAGAAATTGTATTAAGTGTTTTACAAAATCGCAAAAACCAGAATCAAATTTGACAAAAATTTGATAAATAAAGTAAAAAATTAAGAGTGATTTTTGTTGACATAGTGAATAGGAAATGAGACAATAAAGAGACGGATGGATGGAGTATTTCTTTAATTGTGGGGTCAAGCTTAATTATGTAATGTAATGTCTTAATGGTAAAATAATTTTGAGTGAGTTCCAAGATCCGTCATTGAATTTACCATACTATTTGGCATCATACTTGTCAAATTTGTCTTTCACTCTATACATGCATAATACGGAGTGGTATATTTCACCTATTTCAAGTTTTCAATAACACCATCTACGGACGGTAATTTCGACCGACCCATTGGATACCTGCACCAAACCGATTTGATCAAATTGGGGAATGGCGGTTTGACTGGGGAACGGGTATGGGGCGGGGAATACTCGGTTTTTTAAATGGAAATGGATAATGGTTCTATACTAATCTGCCCCGTTATCCGCCTCGAAACCGCCCCCTTCATTAATGGTGCGGATATCCACACCGTTACCCAATCCGTAACATTATTAATAAATTATAACTTTTTATATATAAGAATAATAAGTATATATGCTAAATTGTGTACTTTGAATCGTATATCTCATATAAGTATATAAAGAATAATACATCAGAGGTTCACTTCAAAAACCCTAACATTCATAACTCAATGTATTACGGATTTATGGCTCAGGGCTCTGCTTCTTAACAGTGAGAACATCTCTCTTCGATCCTTCTACATGGAACGATGCTAGGTCTACAGTTCGGCTCTACCGCCGGTGGCTTCTAATCTTTCTCATTATCAAGGATTCGACCCATTCCATTCTTTAATTTTTTCTTTTTACTACTTTATTATTATGTTACAAGAGATATTGGCCCTCTCTCTCCTGTATTCTTTTTCATATTAATAAAACTCGGCAAATGTTCCCCAACATTTGCCCCATTGATTTTGGTGGTTGGTTAAAAAAAAGTTACAAGAGATTAGGTGCTTCTCATACTACTTGAATTTAGGACCAAAATTGCTTGATTGCTTGAACATTTACTTTTTTATGTTTTATGGTGCTTTTAATATATAATTTATAACGAAAGATGTTTACATTAACAAGTAGGGTTAGAAATTGGTTATTTGGTATCATTTGGGCAAACGGGTACCTGTGGATAAACCGATTTCCCGAATAAAAATGATCCGGGACGGTACAATTCAAATAAAAATTACCCGAACAGGTAATGGAACGGTTTTGGAGCAAACATTTATCCAACGGTTAGTTATACTTTTTTTGGCGCTGAAATCATAATTGATAAATTTCACATGTATATGTTTAATTTGTAGTGATTTGATGAGACACGTGAATATATATTATTAAGTTAATGGAAAGGGAGTAGCTTGAGTGGCTACAATTGAAGGGTAATGTTATGTTCGTAGGTGGCAGCACAGGGTGGGGCTTAACTGATCGAGAGAGATAATTGAAAGCTTAGCCAGCTGCTTGTTGGCTCAACTTGCACTTCTCAAATGTTACTTCAGAATTAGATTGGATATAAGAAAAATAAAAATTGTGAGAAATAAGGAAAATTAAAAATTCATTGTTCAAAGAAAAATTGACAATATTTTTAGAACAGATAAAAAAGAAAAGTTACTAAAATCCAATGAGACAATATCTTTGGTCTTACTCTAACTCGCGATTAATTTAATATCGACCATACATTCTTTTCCACAAAAACAAAACAAAAAAATAAGTTGGAGTGATTCGAAAAGAAAAATGAAAACATGATATAAAATCCGATCTTTGGAGAACATACATTTGCATTTCTTTTGTGCTTTATTTCATATTTTATGATTCATATATGCGGCATGCATGCTACGGCATAGTCCATTACTCCCTCCGTCTATTACAGTTAGAGTAATTTTTTTATTTTTCTAGTAATTTGATCAATCAATATGATATTACTACGTATATTTTAGTCAAAACGATACATGTTGTACTCCCTCTCCATTCTTCAATACTTGTTCCCCTTTCCATTTTGGAATGTTTTTTAATAGTTGTCTCTGTTTTTTAGAAAGTTTTTTCAATAAATATATCCAGTAGATGACCTATTGAGGGGTCTTGGGGGGCAAGTGCCCCCACTTCCGACCCCGAAGTTTATATTAGTACTTAAAGATAAAAATTGTGCCCCCTTTACGCAAATAAAAAAATATTGATTTTTTCATAAACATTACCGAAATATAACTAATGAACAAAAATTTTACTATAGTTATTATGCATAGTCACTATACTGATAGTGTTGAACACAATCATAGTTACTATAATTACTATGGTATTTACTAAGTCATATTTTTGTCCACTATCTTTATTTCAATCATATTGTAAGTATTTCAAAAAACTCTGAAGTATTAGATATATAGGACTTTTCGAAGACATAACAATTATAGTAAAAAAATATAAACAACCATAAAGGTGTAATGGAGCAAATCCTTGTAGTTAGACATGTTAGTTGTTGATATGGTTACTACACTTTATTTGAAAAGTGGCATTGTAATTTTTTTACTTAGGACCAATAATGTTTGTTCTAAGTTAAAAGTCAAAGATATGACAAGAGTTCTAATATGTGGGATGAACTTAATAGATTGAAGACTTTTAATTATCTTGAATAAAAGTCCATACATGAAAAATGTGTCATTTCGTGATAAATTAGTTTCAAACCGACATGCCCTTTGATTTTTTAATCTTTAATATGATAAAAGTTAGATATATAGCATCATATTATTAAATAAAGTTGTATTGAAGGATGAAATCATAAACTTGAATCATACTTCATTTTTAACACGATAGTATTATATAGGGAAAAGTATGGAAAATGTACTTATGGTTGGACCCGATTTCAGATAGGGTCATGTGTTTCAATCTTTATCAAAGTAGTCCCGGACAAGTATTGGAGAAGGGAGGGAGTATATGATTAAAACTTATTGAATTTCTCTAAATATAACTAGCTATGATTTTGGACATTCATATGACTGAAAATAAATAAAAAATCATTTATATTTAAATGTTGAATAACGAAAATATCCTTATTTAAAATATGTGAATTTTGGCACTAATTTCGTACAATTAGAATTACTGCACGGCTAGACATCCTGTAATAATCATTGCACTTCCACCAACATTAATTCACTTTTCATCCACTTTAGAAATTTATTTATAAATCTTCTTTGAATGCTTTAATTTAATAATTTTAATATTTTACGTCTAATTAAATATATTACCTTGCATGGTGGCATTATTGCTTTGCGTTATTGCACTACTAGTCATAATCACCGCACTTCCCGCTACTGTGTGGGCCCGAACCGGCCCGGTGAACCGGTTGGTGCCCAGTTCGGGCCACCCGGCCCAGTGAGGTAGGCGGTTCAGGCCCAGGCCTGCTAAATAGTGAACCGGCCCGGCCGGTTCGGGCACGGTCCGGGCCAATTTATTTTATTTTCTTTTTTTTTTTTTGAATTTTTTTTAAATTTTTGGGTTGGGCTGGGTATGATGAGCCATTTGAGGTGGTTTGGGGTGAGGGGGAAGGGTTGGGGGTTAATTAGGAAAAGCCAAAAAAAAAAATTACATGAACGGAGGCCCGAACCGGACTCGGGGGTTACCCGGGCCGGTTCCGGGCCTCCCCTTTCATGAACCGAGGCCCGGCCGGTCCCAGGCTCGAACCGGGCCCGAACCGGAACCGATCCACCCCTAACAATAGATAATTGAGCGGCAATTTTGTTCCTCTCATAGGTAGTGCTTTTTGGTATAAGATAAACGGACTAATAAACAAGCGACCAAGCGGGAGTAGGGATGGACTCGGGCCGGGTTAACCGAACCAGAACCAACCCAAACTGACACTGTTCCGGCCCGGACCAGCCCGATCCACAATTCTGTGACCGGTTCAGGCCACCCGGCCCGACACTGTAGAGGGGCAGTTCCCGGACCTTGCATTTGATGAACCGGCCCGGCCGGTTAGGGCCAATTTTTTTTCCACATTTTTTAAAAGGTAAATGGGTTGGGTTGTGTGTTTTGAAGGGGGTTTGGGGGGTCAGGGTGGGAAGTAATTAGAAAAATTAAAAAAAAAATAGGGCGAACCGGCCCGACCCGGTAACTACCAGGTGAACCGGCCCGACTCGGGCCTGGAGCTACCCGGGCCGGTTTCCGGGCCGGTTTCCGGGCCTCACTTCTCTAAAAAAGCCCGGTCAGAACTGGACCGAGGCCCGGCTCGGCCCGAACCGAAGCCATGCCTAAGCGGGAGAATTAAATGTGAGTGAGTCGGAACTGGGACCATATCGACCCGGGTCCATGCCTAGTTAAAAGTAAAGGTTCCACATTCCTTTTGTAAACGCTTTTCTTACTCGAACTGCACTATACACATTAGACACGCACATATGGGAAATGGTTAATAGTAAATTCCTAAGAATAAACAAGACTACAATCAGGCCAAAAAATTACAGCAGATACTAGACATAGTATTCTGATTAAGCTTCACTCCTTGACGGATCACCAAAGCCGCTAACCACACTCCTTCATGTCATCCTCTAACTTGGTGATTCCGGTAAAATTGGCCCCATAATCGCCGTACCTCCAGTGGAATAGTAACCTAGACGGTCCTGCCCAGCCTAGGCCCAGCAACACTCGCTTTGCGAACATTTTTGTACAATGTGTATAATAACAAGACTTTCATCTTCATCATCATAGACCATCTTTCCATACAATCTTCCCAAATCTGCAAACATTGTGTGGCACACTTCCTCCTGTGCTGCTTCTTGCCAAAATCACAACACCAAAAACAGAAAATTGAATCTTAAAAATGCACAGAGCGGCGGAAAAACTAAACCCCATGAGGGGGGAACAGGCTGCCATTATGGTTTGAAGCTCTCAATACTCCATATATATGTGTGCGTGTATCCAATCATTTATTTATTCAAGGGTATGTAATATAAAGAACAAATAATATTAACCATTTTAAATCATGCTTCTCTATATCTTTCTTCGGCTGAGTTCTCCTTCAACCCGCTTAATTTCATGTTTTAGCTCTTGTAGATCTGCTTTTCTGGATTGATGATCAGTGATCTGTTGAGTTTTGCCATTGCCGTTTATTATGCTACACAGATACGTCAAGCATGATAGATACTCTGCTTTGACTTGAGGCACCATATCACTCGCTGATTTCTCTCCCTCATACTGCAGAAGCCCAAATTGGTTCATATTACTAGAAGAATTCATTCATACTACACCTGAAGTGTAGTAACACTTCACTAATTAACATTACTTGAATGAATAAAACATTGTGCATTCATTCCTATAACACATACCTCCCTGAAAGCAGAAATGCATTGACGAAGAGCACTCTCAGCTTCTCTAATAACACAACCATCCACCTGTTTCACATTTCAAAGAAAAAGCTTTTGAATGTGATAAAACAAGAAAAGTAGCAGTAGAATTTTTATGCGTCTGCAAAACAGCAATCTCAGTTTTGAAATGAGCACCAACCATTGTGTTCCATGATACTATTTTTCCAAAATATATTTTAACTTAAGTATCTATCCAAATGCCACAGGATGAAGATGGTTTTGGATTTGGATGGATTGCCATAAATCCTGTCCGCCTAATATTGGATAGTCATGATGGACTAGACTGAGACAGTACTCAGTAGGCTGGAAACCCTAATTTGAATGGAGCTCATATTAGTTTGGTGCAGCGCGGACTGCATATATTCAAATAGGACGAGTGTTTAACAAAAAAAAAAAGTGGTTATGTAACACTGAGATAGTACTCAGTAGGCATCGAAAAGATTGTTCTCACACATGAAAATGCATTAAAGGAAGTGTAGAACTTAGAAGAACAGCTTCGACGTAATTGATACCATAAACACTAAGTTATCCACTTAATATTCCAAAATGAAAAAATAAAACAATAAAAAACTGTGTTTTCCATGATGGTCTGTTTGGATAGAGGTGGAGAAGGCTTTTGATGGCTATATCTTGACATTTTATGAAAATTGGAAAATTAACATAAGAAGTGATCATACAATGATACAACATTATCACTTTTTATTTATTTTTCAAAACTCTCTATTTATCAAGATATAGACCAAGGATGTTTTTTTAATTGGACTGAAATTTTCTGGTCTGGTCTGAACTGGTCTGATCTAGTCAAGTAAATGTCTAGTCTATGTGTATTTTATAACTATCAAAGTCTGTCTGTTCTGTTATGGACTGAAAACAGTCCAACTTAAAAACATTCTAAGCCCTCCAAATCATTTCCCTTCAAAACACAACTCTCAAGCATAGCCTAAGGGATTACAGAATGTTCATAAACCTTTGATTCCTGAAGTTCCACCTTTGTAACCTCCAACTGAGCAAGAGCATTAAGTGATTGCAACTGCAGTCACATCCCAAATCCCAATCATAAATTAGACGAGAGCATTTAATCAAGGTATAAGCAAACACATAAACAACCGGAAAGGGAGGAAATTATGTATACTTGATTTCATCACCACAGCTTTTCTTAATTCTTTAGAGGTGGGCTGTTTGTTTCAAAGCACAGAATAGGTACAGTGATGATTCAAAAAAGGGAGGCGAGTCTGCTCATTTGGACCAAACCATACAAACCTAAGCATTTCCTCACTGAAAGCGGTCGGCTATATGGATCAAGCAATACCAGTCATTGCTGCCAAGTGTTGTCTGCTAATTTGCTCTACTCATGATGTCTTATCTAATTGTCTATGTCCAAGCCAACTTAGGCCTTCTTCTATCATCTAACAGTTCTCTCTCATATTATCATCACTTGGGGCTGCTCCTACTGTATAATGCTTGTAAAGAAGTTTCTTTCTCTTGTTGTTTTGTACCCTTTCATCTTAACTGGTATTTTTTAATCACAAAAAATTCTTTACGCATGCATTCTGTTAAGCCATAAAACCCAAGTAGCAAGAACTCTCTAATTCTTGAACCAATTAACAATCTAGTTTTATCGCACTCACTGAATAAGTTTTGTTGAATCCACATTACTACATGCCATATATAGTTATATATTGCCTCAGATCTGCTAAGTCTTAAACCCCTCGGATTTTATTGCCGATGTATATAATCGAAGCTTAGACTTACACTAGTCAGTCGCCCTCATATACATCCTGTTGGGCTGTAGGCTTCGGCCCACTCAGATCTGGGAGCCAAATAAACAAAGAGCAGCAGTCGGCCCTAGTTAAGTGTGCAGCCAGCCTTAGTTGGGCCTGTTTCTTTGGTGACAGTCAGGCCCAGAAGTTTATTAAGTGTTTACCCTAATTGTTTGCCTATATATATTGACTACTGTACTTGTAAACTACAACTTGTATTATTCATCATCTCAATAAGAAAGAAAACCCCAGTTGCCCCTGTGGATTAGGTCAGTAACATTTACTGGCTGAACCACGTTAAATTCGTGTGCCGTTCTTCTCGTTCTTTTCTAGTTTTTTCAGATTCGTGCGTGTGTGAGCTCTAACCCTAACATATCCTTTATCACTTCAATCATACTCAAAGTCTTTGTTTCTCTGGGAACTTAATCATATATTTCTCAAAGTCAACTAAAGTTATATGTGTACATATTCTGTACTCTCTTGATACTGTCAAATTTATCTCCTTTAATTTGCAAAATGATAACATACATAGTTAATCTCCAAGACACATAACTAACTTGATCATTTCAAACTATTGTATCTCCTTATTCTCCTTCCAATCACTTTTCACTAAATTTTTTAGTGTTGACTCATTAGTTTTATTCCTCAAAAATTGGTAAAATTACTGATACCTCCGCCATTGTTATATACTGGCACTAACGTATCACTTCTCCACGCATAAGGCATTTTCTCATTCCTCCGAAATTGTATTAAATAGACACTGTAACCGTGTTACTATGCCCTCAACATCATAATTTATGTGCCTTTAAAAGCTTAATTGGGATACCAAATGGACCTACAACCTTGCCAACTTTCATCTTTTTAAGTGTCTCCTTAACCTTTATATGTGTGGTCTAGTGATCGATGTAAGTCTCCTCATCATATGGTTACTAATACACCCTCATTAAAGAGCATATAAATATAAAATTCCCATCATTCTTTTATCTTATCTTCTGTAACAAGTTTCTTCCCTCCTTAGGCTCCACTGTCCTTGGTACATTTCACTACGTGTTGGTTCTTTGTTTTTAATTTTTTTAGATTCAGGCCATTCTACCAGTTCTTTTTTTTATTAGAGTCCTCTTGAGTAGGTAAGGCTGGTAAGCAGAACAAAAAAAAAAGAAAAAAGAAAATGAATGCAATACAGAACAATAAATTGCTGCTTGATCAACAGTTTCAACATGTAAATGTGATTCTAGCACAGCTTGAGAAAGTGAAGTGTTAATGGATAACTTCAAAGGGAAAATGTACAGAAGTTTTGTGTTTCCTTTTTACAAAAGAAAATATGCACAAACAGGTAAACTGACCAGGACCATTAGCGCCATTTGTCTGTCTCTTCCAGTTTGCCTGGGTACTCCAAAGGACTTCTGGTGTCCTATCCCTTTTGGTGGTTGAGATAGAAATTCTCGAGCTACCCTATGACCAAGAGTTACGAGGATCTAAGACTGGTGGTAAACAATAAAAAAGGTTATTTTTAAGTGTTAATTACATATGTAGGACTAAAAGATGATACATATGCACAAATAAGACCAAAATACCAGATCTATGTTTCATAGGACTTAAAACCACTCACTTGTACAAAAATACCCCTAATCAATTTTTATTTGAATTTGTAATTAAAAATGTAAAATTAAAATTTGATGAAATGCTAAAGTTTTAACAGTAACATTTCAGCCACTGTCATCGTTGCTGCCTGCCGCCACCCTCTCTGCCACCTCCCACACCGGCGTTGCCATCCATTGCCTCCCGACCGGCTTCACCGTCCGCCACCGCCAGTGTCAACTTCGGGGCCACCATTTCACATATGAGCACTGCCGCCGCCATCACAACTCTGGCGACAAAAATCTGGCAGATTTAGCTTTGGAGATAAATTTCAAATATGCCATGAACAAAGGGTTCAAATCTGCCACAGAGTTGGCAGATTATCTTGGAATATAAACACAAAACTGCCATAAATTTGGGAAAAGCATGAAGTACACAAAAGAAGAGTAGTGTTCCGGTCAGGCCTTCCTGACCGAAACCGCCGTCCAGCCGACGGCTTTTGGGGCCCTTCCCGGTGGCTTTTTTGATGAAATTTTTATGGCATGTTCTTCATCAAGTCTAGTTTATCCACAAAATAATTCAAGCTAAAAACTCAATCCGGAAGGACATCAAATGATTTTTTGAAGTTAACTGCGCAAAAAATACATATAAAACGCAGTTAACTTCCAAAAATCATTTGATGACATTTCGGATTGAGTTTTTAGCTGATTTTTTTTTGTGGATAAACTAGACTTGATGAAGAACACGCCATAAAAATTTCATCAAAAAAGCCACCGGGAAGGGCCCCAAAAGCCGTCGGCCGGACGGCGGTTCTGGTCCGGAATTCCGGACCTGAACATTTGTCAACAAAAGAATATTCTAAAACTAAAATTCTTATTGGAATAAGCACTTTAACACAATAGAAAATTAGAAATACGAAGTTAATGACAAAAATTCAGAAAAAACAGTTTACACAAAAGCATTGTTGCCATAATACGATTGTCAATGTACACATTTCTGCCATAAACTTGGCAAAATCTGAAGCCATCATCCAATGTTTTTAAATTCGTATATTTTTAAAAACTCAGAAATCAGAAATCGGAAATGTGAAATAGAAGTCCGAAATTTGGCAAAATCAATTCAAAACCCAGAAAAACAGAGCAAAATCAGAAAAACAGAAGAAGAAGAAGAAGAAGAAGAATAACAAGAGAAGAAGAAACCTCAGTGGCTGTGGCGCGCGGTGAAGTTGGCAGCGGCGGCGTGAAAGAGAAGTCGATTGATCTGGTGAGCAGGGTGAAGTCGGCGGCAGCGATGGCTAGGGTGAAGTCGATCGATCTGATGCGTAGGGAAGAAGGGGAGAGAGATGTGCGCAGGAGAAGGGGAGAAGGGACAAGGGGTAATAATGGAACGAAAAATTCGTATGTTTTAAAATAGGAGTAAGATGGTCCTATTTTGGGGAAAAGAACATACATGGTCCTATTTAAGAATTCCCCCTTGTTTTAGTCCTATATGAGGCAATTGCTATATTTTTAACTGTTTATCAACACTTTCTTGGATACGGTTATCACACAAATAATTGCAATGTCACTTTAAAACTCATGAAAATTCATATAAAGGCACCACTTAAATACCAAATCGGATTTATGAAAAGTAGATGAATAGTAAGAATGCTTAGTTCACAAGGAACTTCCTATCACTGAGTGCACTGAAGGAAAAACATCATTTCCAAAAATTGGATATTCTAGCTTACGAATCACAGAAAGCATTAATGTGCTACCAGCGGATTATTATATACAGAATGCAATACTTATCTTAAATTGTTTAAAGCCTTCGTCTCGATCTAGATCAGATCAGCTATATAGATAGATGCATCCACTTTTTAGCATTGAGTTGGCGTTTATTTCTTAAACCCTTATCATTCAACAAAAGTGCTATTTTCTGACAAAAAACACCCACAGTCTATGGACGCAACAAAATTAATTTCAATGCACTGTTAACAATTAATTATTAGCATAATTACATTCCCTCCATATATGTTCAGTACTTCCGTATTTTCTTCCATCCATCCCATTCAATTTATTCTACATGAAAAGGGTTGTTGGGTAAGGACAGTTTTGGAGAGACATAATGACACCCATCAGAACTGATATAACTCTTTTTAGTTTCTACTGTGCTATAAACATCCCGAAAGAATCATAAGCAAGACGTGTTTCATAGAAAAAATTCTTAAATACATAGGTTAGTCATAAATTTGACTTCAGCAATACGTTCAGAAAAAACTATGATACAAGCAATGAAAAACAAATACTGATGGTAAAACCTCATTTACCTTATTGACTTGCTTAAAAGATCCTTTGCCATATCAAGCTCAGTGGTTGCTTGATAAATATTTGTCTTCCTTAGTTTGTTGGAGCTGAGCATCTTCAGTCTAGCAATGTGAAGCATATTGCATGCAACCTAATGTTGAAGCATAGAACATGAAATAGGGGTTGTAATATAATCATTCTTCATTCTCATCTCCCACACTTCAATCCAGCAATGTGGTGTCTCTGAATTACTCATTTGAATCCAGAAAAAACTATGTGCTAATTTAAAAGAATGAAATATTTCAAGCAGACCTTATTTTTAAGACAAATTCTAAATTGAGTTATTTAAAGTGAAACAGATTTAGTCTATCTGGAAAAATGACTATTGTTAGGGAAATAACACTTCTAATCCTCCCCCCATTATGGGGAAATCGTAGACGTGGTCCCTCAATTATACGTGTCAGTCACAGCACTTAATCATGAGTTGTAGCTGTCATGTCAGAGTGACAGAGATGTTAACATCCAGCATTAAGTGCCCAAACCCCTCTCTTCCAAGTTTTTTTGGTAAGAGTGACAGAGATGTTAACATCCAGCATTAAGTGTCCAAACCCCTCTCTTCCAAGTTTTTTTGGTAAGCTTTCAAGACATCTGAGCTAGAAGCTGCAATTTGATCTATTTTGTAGTTTTGATCTTAATTGGTTTATTTAACTAAGCATTGTTTTTTGGCCATTTGTTCTGGTTCGAGATTTCACAAACCTCAATGTGATCTTCAGAGTGTAGAGCTTTCCGAGCATCAAGACATCTGTGCCAGAAATTAATAGCAAATTATACTCCCAAGGAAGTACAGAAGACCCTAAACTGTCAACGATTAGTTAAAGTACTCAAATCCACCTTTCTAGAAGCTTCTGAGCATCAGTTAAGCTCCCCAAATTCTGAAGAGATAGGGCAAGGCGTTCTGCAGCAGCTATGGTGTCAAGTGAACCCCATCCCTGACCATCACAAACAAAGAATATGAAAGAAATCAAAGGGTAAAAATAAGAGAGAAGTTAGAATGTTTTAAATTGGACTGAAATTTTCTGGTAAAGTCTGGTCTGATTTGGTATGGTTTGTCTAAGTCTGGTCTGGTCTCTGTGTATTTTACAACTGTCGAAGTCTGGCCTGGTCTTGTTTGTTTATGTCTGATCTAGTCTGGAACTGAAATAAGTCCAAGTAAAATCATCCTTATTCTACAAGAATTGGAAATGGACAGGAAACTATCAGTTGCAACTCCATAGATTCAAACCTCCATAGATTCAATTCAAAATTAAACATGAGAGTGCAAATTTAATAAATACAAACAAGGAAAATCATCATAAAATGGTTTGGGGTCTCGAAGCCAATTTGGTGAAATTCTGAGTCATGTACCTCACATGCTTCAGCATATACCCACAAAAATTAGAGCAGACTTGTGCATTTTAAAATTACTCGACTGAAAAAGAGGAATATAGCTTTGCCTGCCTACGAATCTTATTTGGGCCAAGTAAATTTAGTATTGGCTAGATTGTACATCTGATAAAATCTAAGCAACACTAGTCAAAGCCTCAAAGGTTTTCATGTATTATTGTCAGCAAATTGGAAAGAATACATTTTCATTTATTTTCATTTACCCCAGTGGCGCAAAGGCTCCCACCTACGATAGGGTAAAGGGGGGTCGGATGTACGCAGTCTTACCCCTGCACTAAAGCACAAAGAGACTGTTTCCGGATGACCCATAGTGAAAATCGCGTCCAAAATTGCATGGACCGACGGCTGCTTCATAACAAAGAAGCGCAGACAGTTTAGTGAGCCATTTTGCTTTATTCCATCATAATCTCAAGCCAAAAAATAATGAATCTTTGGCTCCATTGCAAATTGGAAAGAATACAATAGTTTAAATTAATCTGATTGGAAACCTGACACAGTGTTATTCAGAAGATCAAATAAGACCATGAAGTTGATAATGGATTACCTTTGACAGTTCCATAGTATGCAAGATCTTTCTCTGTAAGTTCACTGCCTCAGCAATTCGGTTGGACTTCAAATACATCTGTAAGAAAAATAAGAAAAGTGTTAGACTCTAAACACATATATTTAATTATGTAAAAAGGAGTAAAGGGTGTTGTGTTTTACAAGGATTTGGTGATGGGGGGCAAGAGAACTGCAAACTCTGAACCAAAATTGATAACAAAAAATCCACATAAAATGTTCAGAATAAAGTGTAGTCATATAAGGATGCTCCACTTGAGAATTTGAGATAACACAAACCGTAGATTATTACAGATAAATACTCATCCGATTTAGCATTTATGAGGAGATATCTTAGAGATCTCAGAATCTCTAAATATCCCCAATTATCTTGTCTTTATTAGGGAATCTTAATTAGGAGGATTCCTTCCTTCTTCCACTTTTCTCTAGCTATATATATTTTGTATTCATCTCATTGTATTACACAGAATAAGAGAAATAAAATACATTTTACTTTCTCAAGTTATTTCTACATGGTATCAGAGCGTGGTTATTCTCTAAAATGATTAAGTTCGGATCCTATGGGATGACCACCGAGAGAGATGGATCTATCCCAGTCACCTCTGAACATTCAGAGGTTGTCCCAACTGGAGATGGCAGCAACCAGAATATCAATGGAAGCACAGTCACCACTCCTAATCAGTCAGATTCGATTATTACTTGCCATAAACTGAATGGTAGTAATTATCTACAATGGTCTCAGTCCGTTATGATGTATGTGTGTGGAAAAGACAAGGAGGACTATTTGACAGGTGATGCACCTGCTCCAGATCAAGGAGATCCAGGCTACAAGAAGTGGAAAAAGGAGAATTATACTGTGATGTCATGGCTCATCAATTCCATGACAACCAGTATAGGAGAAAATTTCCTACTATACAAAACAGCTCAAGAGATCTGGGAGGCTGTGAAAGAAACATACTCAACTTCAGATAACACTTCTGAATTATTTGAGGTTGAATCAATGCTACATAACCTTCAGCAGGGAGAATTGAGTGTAACTCAATACTTCAACAACCTTGTGAGACTCTGGCAGCATCTTGATGTGTTTGAGACATACAATTGGTCATGTTCTAAGGATAAGAAGTTATATCAGGAGATCTGTGAAAGGAAGAGAGTCTTCAAATTCCTGTCAGGATTAGACAAGAGTCTAGATGAGGTTAGGGGCAGAATAATGGGAAAGAAACTCACCCTTAGAGAAGCCTTCTCAGAAGTCAGAAGAGAAGAAAGCAGAAGGAAGGTAATGATGGGTCTGAAATCTCAAGGCCAACAACAAAATATTGAAGGGTCAGCCTTATATACCTCTTCCAGACAGAATGAAAACAAGAAAAAAGGGAGGCCATGGTGTGATCACTGTAAGAAACCAGGCCATACCAAAGAAACATGCTGGAATTTGCATGGTAAACCTAAAGATTTCAAACCAAGCAAAGGGAAAGGAGCCTATGTAGCTACTGGAGATAAAGAAGATATGGGCACTTCTAATCTTGCTGCATTTACCAATGAGCAGATTGAGGTTCTTCAACATCTAATAAGTCAGAGCAAGGGGCCTGCACCATCAACTAGCCTTACTGCTCAGACAGGTAATGCCCTAACAACCCTAGTTGCACACAATCAGCCCTATTGGATTGTTGATTCAGGGGCATCAGATCACATGACCGGAGACCGTAAGTTTTTTGCTGAATTGATCCCTATGAAGAATAAGGTAACTGTGAAGATTGCTGATGGAACTACTTCAGCAATAAAAGGGACTGGAAGAGTCAAAATTTCTGACAAGATAGTGCTTAACAATGTGTTATATGTTCCAGATTTAAAGTTTAACCTCTTATCAGTCAGTAAACTGAATAGTGATACACATTGCCTAACTAAATTCTCTTCACAATTGTGTGAATTTCAGGATTTGGATTCGGGGAGGATGATTGGCAGTGCTAAGCAAAGTGGTGGACTTTATCTTCTGGAACATTCACCACATTCACCCAACTCCACCAACAAGACAACTTTCAGTGAGAGTACATTCAACCATAAGTTCTTAGGGAGTCTTAGTAGGAGTCAATTTGATACTCAAATTCAGTTATGGCATTATCGTCTTGGTCATCCTAATGTCTTGTACTTAGAAAAAATATTTCCTTCATTATTCATAAATAAAAGTTCTGCCTTTGATTGTGAATTTTGTCAACTTGCTAAACATACTAAAAGTCACTATCCCAGTCTACCTTACAAACCATCTAAACCTTTTTCTCTCATCCACAGTGATGTTTGGGGCCCATCTAAGGTCAAAAATCTCACTGGCTCAAGGTGGTTTGTTCTGTTTATTGATGATCATACACGTCTATCCTGGGTCTTCCTCATGAAAGATAAGTCAGAAGTCAATATTATCTTTCAAAAATTATATTCTATGATCAAAACTCAGTTTCAAACCAAGATTCAGGTTTTTAAAACTGATAATGCCAAAGAATATTTCTCATCCAATTTAGGAGAGTTTCTGTCAAAAAAGGGGATTATACACATTAGCTCCTGTGTTGACACCCCACAACAGAATGGGGTGGCAGAAAGGAAGAATAGACACTTACCGGAAGTTGCTAGAGCCCTTATGTTCACCACTCACACTCCTAAACACTACTGGGGAGAGGCTGTCCTAACTGCAGCTTACCTGATAAATAGGATGCCCTCCAAAACTCACAAATTTAAAACACCATACCAAATCCTATCTTATCTACATCCTCACATCCCTATTACCAATCCTCACACCAATCTTTCTCAGTAAGTGTGGTAAGTCAATTCATGAATGACCCAACCGAGGAACACCTAACTGCAGTGTATAGAATTCTGAGGTACCTAAAAATGACTCCTGGAAAAGGATTGTTGTTTCAGAAACAAGGGACAAGGAAGATTGAAGTGTTTACTGGGCTGGAAGCCTCTTAGACAGAAGGTCAACTACTGATTACTGTACCTATGTATGGGGTAATTTAGTCACCTGGAGGAGCAAGAAACAATCAGTGGTTTCTAGAAGTAGTGCGGAATCTGAGCTCAGAGCTTTAACACAAGGAATCTGTGAAGGATTGTGGTTAAGAAGATTGATGAATGAGCTCAAACTCCCATTTGAAAGCTCCATCCAGATCTCATGTGACAACCAGTCTACTATCAGTATTGCTAAGAATCCTGTTTATCATGACAGGACCAAACACATTGATATAGACAGAAGGTTCTTATCAGAGAAGATTGCAGCAAAGGATATCCAGCTGAACTATGTTCCAACCAGACAGCAAATAGCGGATATACTCACCAAGGCACTTCCCAGAATTCAGTTTGAAGACTTATCTAGCAAGCTGTGCATGGATGATATCCATCACCCAGCTTGAGGGGGAGTGTAGATTATTACAGATAATTACTCATCCGATTTAGCATTTATGAGGAGATATCTTAGAGATCTCAGAATCTCTAAATATCCCCAATTATCTTGTCTTTATTAGGGAATCTTAATTAGGAGGATTCCTTCCTTCTTCCACTTTTCTCTAGCTATATATATTCTGTATTCATCTCATTGTATTACACAGAATAAGAGAAATAAAATACATTTTACTTTCTCAAGTTATTTCTACACAAACATTAATTTATATTAAATACAGTAGTAAGATTATGATTTTTAATTTGCTAGAGAACTGAATGTTCTGAATTTCTTGAACATACATTTTCTGGTAACCTTATATTAGAATAGCAACAGAGATTGAAAGGGAATCGAAGAATTCTCATTGATCATAAAGTCAGTACATGTATTTATATTACAGGAGCATTAACAGACTTGTAACTAACTATTAGCAGCTCTAACAGACTAACAGCAAGCAGCTAGTAATGCTAGGCTTATTACAATAAGTGCGTACAATACTCCTAACATTCCCCCCTCAAAGTTAGGGTGATTGATTTGAAAGATCTATCACACTAAGTTTGGTCCTTAAGTCAAGAAAAGAAGAGGCAGACAATGGTTTTGTTAGGACATCAGCAAGTTGATGAGGAGCTGGAATATGGAACATTTCAAGCTGCTTGGACTGAACCTTTTCCCTAACAAAGAAGAGATCAATCTCCATGTGTTTGATACGAGTGTGTAACACAGGGTTGTGTGCAAGTTGAACAGTGCTGAGATTGTCACAATAAACCCTTGGAGTAGTGAATGGTACTTGAAGTTCCTTGAGCAAGAATTGAACCCATAGGAGTTCAGATGTTGTGTCTGCTAAGCTTCTGTATTCAGCTTCTGCTGAAGATCTGGCCACTTTTAATTGCTTCTTGGACAACCAAGAGATGATATTGGGACAAAGAAAGATGCAAGATCCAGATGTGGATTTTCTATCAACAGGATCTGATGCCCAATTAGCATCACAGAATGCTGAAATGGGCAGAGGTATGGTGTTCAGAGGAAGAGGTTTGATAATAATACCATGTGTGATAGTACCAGACAAACATCTGAGGATATGCTTGACTGCCTTCCAGTGATCTTGCAGAGGTGTGGCCATGAATTGACAAACTTTATTCACAGCATAGCTAATTTCTGGTCGAGTTAGGGTTGCATATTGTAAGACTCCAACTATGGATCTGTAAGTTGATGAATCGGGTAGAAGATCACTTCCTGTATTTGTTAGCTTGCAGCTGCTGACCATAGGTGTTTTGACTCCTTTTGAATCAAGCATTCCAACCTTATACAACAGATCCCTCACATATTTGATTTGAGAAAGACGTAGACTACCATCTCCCAGTTTTCTAACATCAATACCTAGAAAGAAGTCAATATCTCCCAAATGCTTGAGAGAGAAGGATGAGTGCAGTTTGTGAATGAGGTTTTGAACAGCTGCGGAGTTATTTCCAATAACTACGATATCATCTACATAGATTAAGATGTAGATTTGGATGCCAGGTGACAGAAAGATGACTAGAGAAGGGTTACATTTGCTTTGCTTGAATCCAGCTGCATAGAGAACAGAGGTCAATTTATGGAACCATGCTCTAGGGACCTGCTTTAGGCCATACAGTGACTTGTGAAGTTTGCAGACAAGAGAAGTGTCCTTTGCTTGAAACCCCGGAGGTTGGACCTGATAGAGAGCGGGAAGAGCATGGGGCGGGACCGGGCTTGGGCCCACTTCCGTGGGCCGGGTTAGGGCTGTCATTAGAGTTTATTTATTATTATTAAGCTAATGTTATGTTTTACTTTGGGCCTATTATTAGTAGAGTACTTAGTAGAGTTATTATGGGCTTAATTAGGATTTAATTAATTTGGGCTTGATTAGGGTTTCTCTTAGACGGCTATTTATACCCCTTGTCAGGGTTCATTCTACCTTATCTTGGAATAAAATTGGTTTTAGCCTTTTAGCTCTGGGCAACGGTATTTGTATCGTTGATTATCAGGGCAACGGTTTACCCCGTTGATTTTATATTTTTCTGCTACACAACAATTGATCCGACTTGCCGGATAATATAAAATCAACGGGGTAAACCGTTGCCTAGATAATCAACGATAAAAATACCGTTGCCCAAAGCCAAAAGGCTAAAACCAATTTTATTCCAAGATAAGGTAGAATGAACCCTGGCAAGGGGTATAAATAGCCGTCTAAGAGAAACCCTAATCAAGCCCAAATTAATTAAATCCTAATTAAGCCCATAATAACTCTACTAAGTACTCTACTAATAATAGGCCCAAAGTAAAACATAACATTAGCTTAATAATAATAAATAAACTCTAATGACAGCCCTAACCCGGACCACGGAAATGGGCCCAAGCACGGTCCCGCCCCATGCTCTTCCTGCTCTCTATCAGGACCATATAAATCTCTTCATCAAGATTTCCATTAAGGAAAGCATTATTAACATCAAGTTGTTGGATAGACCAGTTATGAGAGACTGCCACGATAAGCATAACTCTAATTGTGACAGGCTTAACAACTGGTGAAAAGGTCTCACTAAAATCAAATCCAAACCTTTGATGAAAGCCTTTAGCCACTAATCTGGCTTTGAACTTGTTTAGAGAGCCATCAGAATTTTCTTTAATCCGGAAACCCCACTTGCAGCCAATAGCATGCTTGTCTGGTGGTAGAGGAACCAAGGACCAAGTTTTATTTGCTATCAAGGCATTATATTCAGACTGCATAGCAGTGAACCACTGAGGAGATGAGAGAGCCTGCTTAACTGACTTGGGCTCAGTATGGGTTAATAGCAAAGTAGGATGAAGTCTAGGTTTTATAATCCCTGATTTGGCCCTATTTTGCATAGGATGGGTGTTAGTTAAAGGGATAGAAGGTGAAGAGGAAGAGGAAGAAGTAGATGATGAAGGAGAAGACTGATGTGAAGAATGATGTTAGGATAGAACAGGTGGGGACTGTGAGTATGAGAATGAGACTGATTTGATGGATCATGAGAGGGATGAGAGGATGATGTAGATGAAACATGAGTCTGAGAATCATTTGGTTGTGAGTCAGTGTGATGGGATAGAGATAAGTCAGGAGACATAACCTCATAGGGTGTATAAACAACGAGTCTTCCATGTCTATACTCCTTAAGATAAGGAAATAAATAAATCAAGTCTTAATATCACTTAGCTGAAATAAGTATATTATCAGTAGATTAGAGCTTAGATCACAATATGTATCGGTTCAGACAATAGATTTGATTTTGTGCGAAATAGAAGTTCCAAAGAAGCATCTTATGGACACAAGTGGAGGCATAACCTCAGCAAGATGCCACATCCTCTTGGCGCATATGATAGATTCACTTTGATCACCTTCCTACCTTGTCAAACACAACAATAAGAACAAAAACATAATTATACTTACAATAGGTTATCCAAAATCACTCTGTCATTGAAACGTATACGAAACCTCTAGAATTCGAATAGATTCCAAAACAAGATCCTCAGAGTCCTCTTTCCCTTGGATGCGCAGAACCTACAATTTGTTAGTATATTTTTTCAGTATTGAATGCATGAGGATTTAATCATGTTTTAACTTTGGCAGGTCCCTACAAAAGAAAATGAATTTTCACACCCAATACATCAAAATGATAACTGAAATGTGAACAACCTGCAATAATTGAGTTTCAACTGATTGAAGGATGGATAACAGTTGTTAAATTGAATCTAAAGGAACTTCAACATATTGAGATCTCAGAAGTTAGAAATTACAAGGAATATTGATTTATTTTAACTGCACTTCATCTGAGATTAACTGAGATCCATTTTATTACATCTAATCCACAGAACATCACATAAATCAAGACCACATATGCATTAGGAAGCTAAGTGTTTGCCACCCTTTTCCCACAAAGACAGCACACTGTAGTTTACAAAGATCTAAATGAAGTAAAAATAAAGAGGATGGCATTACAGACTTACAGTTCCAAGATGATACATTGTATCAGCATAGTCAGGGTGAGCTTCCCCCAAGACCCGCCTCTTTATCTGAGCAATTAAACGTGTTATGTGTGAATGTGTCAGAAAGCATTAGTTACAAGCAGTAATAACAATGTGGCAATTATAAAGTCAATCAATTAACCACATACCTTTAAAGAGCGCTGCCAAAGGAATTTGGACAAAGAAAATAATATAGCATCAGTAATGGGGAAATGCATATCAAGTTACATACTATGCATTCTATTAATAAATGTCTATGGTTACAAAGTAAAATGGGGCATCCGTATCAAAATAACTGACCTGCTTTCCTTTTCGGGACGTATCAAATTAAAAGTCCCATTTCTATTTTTAGACATGGACCCCACCACCTTTTAACTTCCCATCATTACATTTTTACATTTTACATTTTTTTCTCCACTTATCCCATTATTCCTCCCCATTAAATCCCCATCCCACCCAACCATAAATCCCTATCCGCCCCACCTTCCCCAATAAATCGGCCATTATCACCCCCCCATTTCGAAGTATCCGTCTCTCCCTCTCTCTCTTGTTCAAACCTTCTCTCTGTTTCTCCGGTTTCTCTCTATCTCTCCGTCGGTCTGGGTTATTGCCTCTTCGGTTGTCCATCTGGTTTATCTCGACTGCCCAACCCCTCCTCACAGCCCTCCTCTCCATTCTTAATCTGTTGTCTGCCACCTTATTTCTGAGCTACCAATCCATCGCTCCTTTGCATGGATCCGTATGAGTCTGATTCTGAACTGATACTGCTTGATCAAAGGCTTAATGAAGGATGTCCATCACCTCCTTCAGAGAAATCGAAGGAAGGCCCTGTTCTGAGTAATGTGCCCATTCGCCTAGCGGATCCGGTGCCCGTCTCTGATTTGGATTCCCGAAACATCGATTGTCCAGGCTGGACAACCTCTTCAGAAACTGACCCAGGCTGGCCTCTCCGGAGATTATTCGAGTCCGGTTGTTTATACTCCTTTTGTAAAGTATTCCTCAACTTTTAATCATCTACAGTGTTTCTTACTTTCTTCTACAGTAATCTACAGTACACCTACAATTTTTCTTAAACTACTACAAAAGCCTAGTGGGTCAATTAATTTGATACGGAGGGAGTATATCTTTAGAACATCTAAACAGATCAAGCAATTTTAGGCAAGAATGTAAGAAATTTAATTTCTAGTTAATGTATCCAACTTGAAAAAAAAAACTCTTTTTATGAAAGCCGAGGACAAGTCTGTGATTTGACTCCTTGGGGACAGCCCATCCGGCTGACAGATAAGAGATTTAGGCATTTAGCTACTGTTTGTTGAGGAGATGATTGGCAAACATTATCAGTCTTATTCAAAAGTAATTGAATATTATGAGTGTATTGTTTTCAAATTGCATCAACTGATCAACCGGTGTTATAAGCCTTGTGTTTAGCTCCAAATACATTTGAGTAACTGATGTGAAGACAGATTAATCTTTCCGTAAATAATTTACTACTTAATAAACCATAAGGACTATAATATAGGTTTTATTAAGTAGTTAATATCTGCATGTGTATGAACCATATTTAGCACATATATATCTATACTAGATTAATACTTGATAGAATAATAGGTACAGTTACTACCAAGAAAATGATTTCTTTCGTCAACTAAAAGGCATTAGCTATCTGTGCTCTCATTATGATATATAATTCACCTGTTTTAGAAGCTTATTATAGAAAACCATTAGTCAGCTAGTGTCAGCAGATGCAAGACATGATTTTAAGGAGTAGTAAAATTCCGAATGTTAGCCGATTAAGTTCAGTGGTAAGGTTTGTAGATAAGCATTTTCTTATGCATCAGTTTGATTCTCATCAATCATTAGTAGGTATGATCCAGAAGCTTTAAGGGCTTAACCGAGTCAAACTTCAGCAACTAATCCTTATATTTGAAAAAGTAAAGGTTTTTTGTTAATGAGTGCCCATGAGCCCATGAGCACCTGATAAAGAGCAATTAATTTGTTTCATTCTCAAATTTCTGAGAAAGGAATCAACAATTTCAAGTAAAATGAAATAAATGTGATCTATGAAATTGATATGATTATCGCAAAAGTTATACATTTATCACCATTGTTAAGGACAAATTGAGAAAATTATGAGCATTAAATACTCATTAATTACTCCGTATCATATGTCACATTGGCACACAATTAAACATATATTTATTTAGTAGAAACACCAGAATGCACATAAGAGGAAACTTCAATACAGGACGAGTGCGTCTAGTATGAGAGAAATTGAAACAAAAAGTGTCTCTGATTTCTTTTGCAGCTTTACCTCATAGCTAACACGGGCTTGATTCAAATTTCGTTGCACAAGGTAGAATTGGCCTAAATTGTGAAGGGCTGCCCCAACCCTAGATAAAAACAATACAAAGTATGATTACCAGATGATATGTCTCAGTCTCAAATACGACGATGAATGGTGTGAAGAATAAGAAATAGCAATTGAGCAAAATGCAGATTTCTATTTGCAATTACTAACTTTGTCCCATTTATATGTCTTGTTTTGGTTTGGCACAATTATTAATAAAATGATTGAAAAAGTAAATGTTGTGGTTGAGATTTGAGTAAAATAAAGTGAAATGTTGCGAACCACATATTTCTTTCTAAAAAAGGAAACATGACAACCTAAAACGGAAAGTAAGATGGGTAAAATGAGGCAGACGGAGTACTACTTTAATACCACGTGCACACACAAATGATCATGGCCTATAAGTCTGTCCAAGTACCAACAAGGCACGTTTATACAATATTAGTATACCCCCAGAATTTTTATCACTCATAATCCAAAAAAAGCAGTGCTACACAAATGGTATCAAGCAACACACCAACACAAATAATGAAAAAGACATCCATAACCATACAAAATTTACATTTACCGTATGTCATCTTGTCCAAATGACTCCTCGAGAATACTGATTGCCTCCAGATAGAGTGGTTCTGCTTTGCCAAATTCCTTTTTTACTCTATACAGCTCTGCCTGTCACAAATATCATACTTGTAGAAAGTTCCTAAAGAGATAGTAGAAATACTTCGGGAGAAATAGAGTGCATGATGAGTTGCAAGATAACACGTTAAAGAAAGAAAAGGGTTAAAGGAAAAGGGAAATGAAACAAAGAATCAGAATGTTTAGGGGATGTGTATACTATCAGTGCTTATACCGTGGTACCGGTGCATGGTGAGCACCATGCACCATTTGTTATTTTTTATTTCTCAATTTCTTAAAATTGTTAATAATTTTTTTATTTTTGATCCGATTTTTATAAAATTTATACCAAAATTTTTTATTTTTCATGATCTTTCAAATGAGACCAATATTGCCTATGTAATTTTATTTTTTTACATTCATACATTTTTTTGTAATATATTTTTATATGCATACACTTTTTCTATAATATATTTTTTTATCACTTTTATATGTTTTAGAGGTTTTTAAGATATTGAGTTTGTTTATTTTGCTTCTAGCTTGGAGTTACATTTGATAATATACGAAGTTACATCATCTTATACTCCAGTTACAAGTTATTATGTGTGAGTTACATCTTGTTATGTGTGAGTTACATCTTGCTATACACGAGTTACATACTTTTATGCGAGAGTTACATGTAATTATGTGTGAGTTACATCTTGTTATGTGTGAGTTACATCTTGTTATACACGAGTTACATACTTTTATGCGCGAGGTACATGTAATTATGTGTGAGTTATATCTAATTATTTGTGATTTTTTACTTATCTTTATCTTGAACTAATTCAATTATAACTGAATTAATTTTTTTCTTTGCCAATTTAATACAAAATTTTATTAATCCACATAAAATAAGTATATTGTATTTCATATTCATACACAATTTTTCAAATGATAAAAATGAAAGATGTACCAGGGGTTTATTTCATGGTGTAACTCACATACATTAAGATGTAACTCGTGTATATTAAGATGTAACTCGCGTACAATAAGATGTAACTCGCGCAGAAGAAGATGTAACTTCATGATATATTATCAAATGTAACTTCAAAATAATTTGTTAAAATTACATAAGCAATATTGGTCTCATTTGATAGATCGTGAAAACTAAAAAAAATTGATATAAAATTTATAAAAATCGGATATCAAATAAAAAAGTTATTACAATTTTTAAATATAAAAGAAAAAAAATAATGAATGCTGCGTCGTTTTGGGATCAGGCGCACCATCCTCATGATGCGCCGATCCCAGGGTATAAATTGCGGTATACTATGGATATATTGCAAACTAAAGATTAAATCAGTGTTGACAACATTATACTTCTAGAGAATATGAAAAGCACATGCAGGCCCACCAGATTATTGCAAGCAGATGCTACATGTGAATCCCTTTCCCCAAAACCTTCTTTGGCTTCTTCAATAGCAGCAAGGAAAAGTTTCTCGGCGTCCTCCAACTTTCCCTGGTCAAAATAGGATCCAACGTGCAGGTGACATATGAACTGGGAACAAGATTAACTTACACTAGAAATCATCAAAAAAAGGTCAGGTAACACACTAACACCTACCTGTAAGAATAAATCCCTCCCAGAATCTGTGAAGACTCTCCACTTTTGAGTGTGAACATTTGATGTGATAGAACCATCCTCAATTTTTTGCAATCCAGCTACTGTAACCTCATCTGCCTCTTTGGAACGTAGAGGAGTTGACACATCTTCAGCCATCGCAAAAGTAGATTGCCCTCCCAGTATGATTGCTACAGTAAAGATTGCATGGTGTGTTTCATGAAATACATTCACTTTAAGCAAAAAGATCGTGTTTTATAATAAAACTTGTGGGATGGCTAAATGGGGATGTACAGCATGCAGAAACTAGGGTTGGGTCCGAAAAATCGAAAACCGAAAACCGAATCAAATCATACCGAACCGTAGCCAAATAAAACCGAACCGCTATCAAACCGAAACCGAATGTAAAAAAACGAACCGAATCGTAGTTGTTTGGTTCGGTTTTGGTTTTTACCCTTCAAAACCGAACCGAACCGAACAAACCGAACTAGTTAAAATATACGGAGTAAAATTTATTTGTCCATTGTTAAGCATTAATCCTAACTAATCCTAATATCATTAATAGTTTTTGGTTTTCTTGTGCTAGAGAAATAATGTTTGTTATGTTTAGTTTAGTTTGTGAATTCATTTACACATTCATTGCACGTAATAATGTAACTATACTGATAATATGTTTTTACTTGTTATTAATTAGTATTAATTAACTTTTATTTTTATTTAACTTAAAGAATTTGTATTGATGAAACAATAAATATTTATCTCAACTATATCACATATAACATATATACTCATGAACTTTTTTGAACTAGTCACAAACAATGTAAATTAATAATATATACTTTTATCTCTCTCGCATACTCATATAATTATGACATATTTATTTATTTTCATTTTTATTTTATTTGTTGTAGTGTGCTTGCATTCTTTATGTAATATATGTTTGATCCCTCAAAGTATTATACGGATCGGAGTATCAATTTTAAATCAAATGATAATTTTTTGGTAAAAAACCGAAAAACCGAAACCGAATCGAAACAAACCAAACCAATTAAACCGTGGTTCCAAGTTTTGGAGTGTAGAACCGAACCGAAACCGAACCGAACTTTTTACTTTGATTCTATATTTGGTTTTAGGTCAAAACCGAACCGCAAGAACCGAACTCACCCCTAGCAGAAACACTGCAGATGCAAAATAAATCACATGTAACACCAAACTCCATGTTAAACACATCACTAATGCAAAGCAAAACAATCAGGCATTGTTGTATATTCTAAACAAGAATAACATCTAATCCATTTCATTTTCATTTTCATTTTCATTTACCCCAGTGCCGCAAAGCAAAACAATCAGGCATTGTTGTATATTCTAAACAAGAATAACATCTAATCCATTTCATTTTCATTTTCATTTTCATTTACCCCAGTGCCGCAAAGGCTCCCACCTACGGTGGGGTAAGGGGGGGTCGGATGTACGCAGCCTTACCCCTGTACTAAAGCACAGAGAGACCCATAGTGAAAATCCCGTCCAAAATTGCATGGACTGACTGCTGCTTCATAACAAAGAAGTGCAGACAGTTTAGTGAGTCATTTTGCTTTATTCCATCATAATCTCAAGCCAAAAAATAATGAATCTTTGGCTTCATTGCAAATGATGGAAATAAATAACATCTAATCCATAATGAATATAAATTTGACTCTGTTAGGAAAAGATAAAACTTAACATGTAGTAAAAGATATTAAGAAACATTATGAAATATAAGAATGGGCAGAAGGGATATCCCATAAATACATATATAAGATTTTGTTGTGGTGAGTCTGGTGACCCCATAAGATTTGAGCAATGAGAACTAACAGGTGTCATATTGGAAAACTGATATTTTTGTTTTATCAAGCTTTACTCAAACCTTTAAAAATGTGATTAATATGTATTCAATAAAAACACCTCTATGGATGGAAGAAAAGAGAGGCAATAACAGTTCATGTCACAAATTACAACATAAAATATTGAGATTTGAGAACATGGGTGTTTTCACTTGGACTAAATTTTTCTGCTGTGGTCTATTTGCTTGGAAATATGATGGAATAAAAGAAAATGGATCACTAAACTGTCAGCGCTTCTTTGTTATGAAACAGCGGTCAGTCCATGCAATTTTCGACGCGATTTTCACTATGGGTTATCCGGAAACAATCTCTCTGTGCTGTAGTACAGGGGTAAGACAGTGTACATCTGACCCCCTAACCCCACCGTAGGTGGGAACCTTTGCGGAACTGGAGTAATAATGATGATGATGGTCTCTTTGTCTGATCCGGTACAAGTCCGGTATGTGTACATTACTATTGTCTAACTTTAGTATGGCCTATTTGAATCTAGTATGGTATGGTCTTAAGCAAAAACAAGTCCAAGTGAAAACATTCCAAGAAACGGTTCAGCTTTTTTAACTTGTTGAGTAATCATAAGCCCAAACTCCAAAGAGCAAATATCTTGGGGGAGAATGTGTATGAACTGAAGATGCTAAAAAAAGGTTCATTATCACAAAGAACCAGGACTATGGTCTAGGTCATTTGCCAAACCAAATTCAAAAGTAGCAGTGAGCTTCGCTGGTGACACCCCCTTACCCCACCGTAGGTGGGAGCCTTTGCAGCACTGGAGTAATAATGATGATGATGGTCTGTTTGTCTGATCCGGTACAAGTCTGGTATATGTGTACATTACTATATAACTTTAGTATGGCCTATTTGAATCTAGTATGGTATGGTCTTAAGCTAAAACAAGTCCAAGTGAAAACATTCCAAGAAACAGTTCAGCTTTTTAAACTTGTTGAGTAATCATAAGCCCAAACACCAAAGACCAAATATTTGGGGGGAGAATGTGTATGAACTGAAGATGCTAAAAAAAGGTTCATTATCACAAAGAACCAGGACTATGGTCTAGGTCATTTGCTAAACCAAATTCAAAAGCAGCGGTGACTGGTGACACCCCCTAGTAACTATCTAAATATCACATCAGAGCTGCTTCTCTTGTACACATGTGGAAGCATTGTATTAAATCCACTTTAGTGTCAAAAGGAAAGGAGATACTATAGAGGCAAGAACAAACTTTGAAGAACTAAACATGACTGTAACCCATGAGAATAAATAGACTTTACCAGCTTGTCCAAATAGAAATATCCATTTGAATTGTTGCCAACTATCACCTCCGTAACCTTGTTGCCTAATAGACTGGAGAACTGTACATGCAAAGGTTGTGAAGCTATATGTTAACATTAGTCATGTTCCATTAGTTCCATATAATCACTGTAACTCAACAAAAATAGAATCATCTAACCAATGCTTTTGTCTCATATGCACTACTCAGGAGTGTACAGAAGTTACAGTAAGAAACAATTTTAATGAAATTATTTCCACAATGCAAACAGAGAGATACTCAATAGTTCATTTATTTTGGATCATCATCATCATTACCCCAAAGGCTCCCACCTACGGTGGGGTAAGGGGGTCGGATGTACGCAGTCTTACCCCTGTACTAAAACACAGAGAGACTGTTTCCGAATGACCCGTAGTGAAAATCGCTTCGAAAATTGCATAGGTTGACCGTTACTTCATAACAAAGAAGAACACACACTTTCGTGAGCCATTTTGCTTAATTCCATCATATTCCCAAGCCAAAAAAATAGTGAGTCTTTGGCTCTATTGAAAATGATGGAAAGAGTTCATTTATTTTGGATAAACTAACTTTAAATTTAGAATAAACCAGTAGAAACGGGACTGATAACAACCTGCATTAGATGGGAAGATGGGAGCTTTTTTACTTTTCCCCAGAAATAACGCAATATATGACGATTTCCCGAGTCCCCCGAGTAGTTTAACAACTGATCGCCGGAATATCATTGTCAATAGTAGGAATTAGGGAATATGAGCAAATACTCAGTAAAATTCCCTATTCACTTCACGTTTTTGTTTTCAGATGAGATTTATGGTCTGGGCATTGAAAATTGTGGGTGGAGGATAAGGGCGGTTACCGGTGACCGGCGACCGGGCGTGACAGTGTCGGAGTGATAGAGGACGATGGGCATTGGAAGGATGAGCCAACTCAGCCAAGAAGCAGAAGACTAATTGGGCTTTTGGGCTGATTTCTTTTTTACGTTTTGACATATTGGGCTTTTGGACGAGCCTGTGACATATTACTCTTTTTTTACTTTAATTTAATTAATCAATTAATTAATTAACAAATTAACTAATAATAATATTGTCCCGCTCGAAATTCAAAATCAGCTTTTCTAGATCCCCAAGTTCGACGCATTCAGACCAAAACAAACAATCCCGTCTCCTCTCCACTTCCATTAACACAGAAACTAGCCGTTGATCTAATTCTGAGACCAATACACAATGCCGGCCACCCCCAACAATGGCGGCAGTCCCGGGGATGAAGTAAATCAGCGGCATAAATTATGCCGAAAAATAGCTAGGGTTTTGGATGAGGTCCGGTCGTCTCAGGTTACCCACCTCAGGAAGCTAAAGGAGCTCTCTGCTCTCCGTTTCCATTCATCTGTATCCACGGAAAGTTTCTTTGCGGCTTTCTGCACAGCGTTGACGCAGATTTTTGACTTCCAACGACGAACAGCATCCGCTGAGAGAATTATCAGATTCGTTGCTATTTTCGCGGGTACTCGGGACCCGAAGAATGCTTCTGACAGTGACCCGTTTCTGGAACAGTTCCTTAGGTTTTTGCTCGTGGCTGCTGAAGCATCAAACAGGATGGTGCGAATCAGGGCTTGCCATATCATTTCTGAGGTACGACAATTCCACAAAGAAACTGGCAATACAACAGTTTTTTATGACTGAATTGAAGAGGGTGTTTTAGATTTTATTTCATAATATTTCATAATATTGCGGTAAAGACTAAATCAAGAGGATATGGCTTTAGCTAACGGAATTAATGTACCGAATGTAGACACCAATACAGAAAGAAGTAGCTGTAGGCAATCGTTTAGCTTAAATATGACTAAATTTTTGAAATTGCGTCCCTTTATTTTTTATTCCCTTTTGAAGTTGTGAGGCTTAGATGCTTTGTATTTATTTGGTAACAAACTCGACAGTGCAGATAAACTCTTCCCCAAATCGTCAATCGTAAACACAGTCTCAATATTATCATGCATTTTATTCTATGCATTAGCACAACTTCTAACACCCACGGCTTTAGTGTCTGATAATGAGGTCCACCAAGAATGACAGATCTTACCCCATTTGGGGCATAGGAACAGTGCCAAAAATGACTATCACAAAACTAACTGGACTTAGCAAACTCGCTCCTAGCTCCCTAGACACCAAATATACTAGCAAATTTGTTCACACGTAAAAACACATGTATTTGGGAAGTAGAGATCAATTTTTCCTTTTTTCCTTATGATCAGCTAAATGAAGTCAAAGTCAATGAATCATCCATCCATCAATATTCGTTCATTCTTCTTGTCTACCTGAAGTATAACTAGTTCCTTATGTGTGTGCTCATAATCATATGTGATATGATGCTTCAAGTGTAACACCTAAATGGGATTTTCTTTAATAAATTTATCAAATAGAAAGGTATCAACTTTTATCTTCATTTCAACCAATAATTTGCACCTTATAAGAACATTTTTTACCCATTTCTCTCTTTTGATGGTGGGTGGAGTGCACATATCATTCTTCTTCTTTTCTATCTTTAATGTGTACCCTACGATATTTGTGAACAGAATATCATCACCTTACAGCTTATTGGAGTCCATTGTTCATGTAATAGTTTGTTTATTTTCTAGATCATAATGCGAATGCCTGATGACGCTGAAGTTAGCAGTGACCTTTGGGATGAGGTGATAGAGGGAATGAAGTTGCGTGTTGGTGATAAGGTCCCTGCAGTCCGGACTTTTGCTATCCGGGCTCTGTCACGCTTTGTGAATGATGCAGAGGATTGCGGAATCCTAGAACTATTGTTGCACACATTGTCCTTTGAACAAAATGCGGTTAGTATTTAATATTTAGTTAAAATGTCTGCAACACAGGTTAAATATATCAACAAGGTTGTTTTCTATAAGAATACACAAATAAAGTATTAGGGGAATATAGTTTCTTCTGTCAGTGGTTATGTAAAAAATGGTAAATGCAAAATGTTAGCCCCTCTGTCTTAATTCCTGAGTTAGAGAATTTTGCAGGCTGTACGGAAGACAATTGTGTTATCTCTCCCACCTTCACACAAAACTGCAACAACAGTAATTGATTGTACATTAGATGCCAGTGAATCAGTACGTAAGGCAGCTTACTGTGTGCTTGCTAGCAAGTTTCCCTTGCACCGTCTCAGGTAATATTTGACATTTCTTTTGCTTTTACTTTTACTTCCTTGTGTTCCTTCTTTAGTATCGTACATTACACAGGCTTTTGGTAATTGCCAACATCATGCATGCTTACTTTATGCTCTAATGTTCAAGTAAAATATTGCATTGGCTACTTAAGTTTGGATATATTAGTGCCTATTGTCTAGCTGTTTGCAGCTATGGATAGGAACGGGCTATTATATTATTTTGTCTCACTTTTAATCTGACATGTTTTTCTGCATTATATAATGGGCAGTATCAAGCTCAGGACAACTATCCTACAGAGGGGACTGGCAGATCGCTCCTTGTCTGTCATGAAGGACTGCCTCAAATTAATGAAAGATGAGTGGCTTTCCAAATGTTGCAATGAAGAGCCTATAGAACTTCTAAAGTTTCTTGATGTTGAAACATATGAATCGGTTGGAGAGTCTGCAATGAGAACCTTATTTAAAGAAGGACTGGTGAAATTGCGTGATGATCAAAGTATTAGGCAGTTCTTTACATCACCTAGTGACCCTAATGAAGGTCAGAACTCAGAATTATGTTCATATGGTTCTTATCTCATGCACTTTGATTAAAATGCTGACTGTATCCCTTTGGTTGCAATCCTGTGCAACTTATCTGCTGAACAGAGCAAACACATCAACAATTTATGTTATGACCTGGTGAATGAGTCATGCTCTATGCCATAATTCTAGTAATGAGTTTTTTCGTTACTTTTGGAGGGAATTGTAGATTGCCACTGAACATCTAGTGTCCTGACTGCATTAGTGAAGCATGTCCACCTACTTTACCACTTTAACATTCGCTCCACTAATTGCACTGCTTTTATGTTGTATTTTTTCTTGTGGATGTCACTGTTAGATGAATATATGCGCTACAAGGACCCACTAGTTGCAAATTACCAGCTCAAACTGTATCTTGCTTCTAATCTAATGTTTCATATAGTGCTGCGAATTTGTAATTTGTCTTGGATCGCTTTCATTAAAGCTTCTTGTTAAAAAAAGCTTTGTCCTTTAGGCATTTAATATCACTTATTGATTATTGATTGGTTCTCTATTTTGGTTTTAGGACAATGCAAGTCTACTGTCCAACTAATGGAAGCAGAGGTTGCATTTTTCTGGAGAACCATCTGTAAGCACCTACAGATGGAAGCAAAGGTGGGTTCTCTTGACCTGTCCATCGCATCCATTCAGTGTGGTTGGAAGTTGGACTGGAAATGTTTATTCTCTTTTGCTATACTTTTTACCTGGACTTCTTTATGAACACTATTTATATCTAACACACATTTCTGATATATATATGCCATCTATGTGCGAAAAGTTACATTATTTTTCTCTCGCTTCCACATATCTCACACACATATATCACTGATGTTTGACTTAATAACAAATATGTGTAAATGTTTAGTGTTATACATGCATCTGTAATGGAATTGAGTCATTTGCAACTGACAAACTTATTTTGTGAAACAATTATATCAAGAAGTTCGCTTAGAGCATACATAGTGAAAATGACCTCGCATATTATATACTATATAGCGTGATAATGTAAGGAGAATAACATCTATTTGCTGGTTTTATGCCCAGAAAGTAGCTTGGACATTCATGTATTGCATTTGATGAATGACTATCCCAAAATTGGGTACTTAATTCATGTAACCTAAAGGAAGGTTCACTATAACCAAACACAGGTCAAAGGCACTGATGCTGCAACTAAAACGGGCACCGAATCCGCTGTCCATGCAGCAGGAGCTTCAGACAGCAATGATCTTCTTGACCGAGTTCTACCTGCTTCTGTTTCTGATTATGTGAAATTGGTTAAAGCTCATATTGATGCTGGTGTGTGTACCTGCCTCTTGTCTTTTTATAATCTTTCATGTTACTCGTTTTTGACACCATCTCATAACATCTGGTTATTATAGGACCCAATTATCGATTTGCATCTCGGCAGTTACTATTGCTTGGTGCAATGCTTGACTTTTCTGATTCATCGAACAGAAGGGTTGCTGGTGAATTTCTGCAGGAGTTGCTGCACAAACCACTGGATTATGAACTTGATGAGCATGAGGCTGAGGTGGTTATAGGAGATGGTATCAATTTAGGTGGGGACAAGGAGTGGGCTGCTGCTGTGTCAGAACTAGCAAAGAAAGTTCATGCATCCTCAGGGGAATTTGAAGAAGTGGTTTTAAGGGTTATTGAACAACTTGCTCAACCTTGCCGGGAGAGGACTGCTGGTTGTATGCAGTGGCTTCATTGTCTTGCTGTTACTAGCCTTCTCTTGGAAAATGCACAGTCATTTCGCTGGATGCATGGAAAGGCCATAGAACCTCTGGAGATTTTGCAATCTGTTTTGCTTCCTGGGGTATGTATATATGCAAAATATACTGAGTGTCTGAATCCAAATTATTTTTCACCATCTTTAGAAAAATCCAACTTCTCATTTATCTTCCTTCTTACTGTTTGGATCTTAATTACTTTCTCTGTCCCATAATAAAAGTCACTTTGTCTCACAGTAAACTTCACCTTTCTATTTCTTTCCTTTCAAACCTCAACCAAACAATTTCATTTTGTTAATAAACGTGTTACTGCCCACTAGAAAGTTTAAATTGGGACAGAGGGAGCAACAGATCAAGTGGTGAGTTATTATGAAATGTATGTGGTATTTTTCTGAAATACAGGCAAGGCATGTCCATTTAGATGTTCAGAGGGCTGCTGTGAGGTGTCTTGGTCTGTTTGGGCTTCTAGAAGGGAGACCTAGCAATGATATAGTAAAGCGCTTAAGGCGGTCATTTGTTAAAGGCCCTTCTTCAGTTACTATTATGGCTTCTAAGGCTTTGATGGATCTTGGAATGTGGCATGGTCCCAATGAAGTAGACAATGCAATGGAACAGCGTAATCATACCGTGGTTGTAACACCTTATGAACCCAGTGATGATAGAGAGGATCCTGAGATCAAATTGCTGCATCTGTTATATGATGGACTTGAAAGGCACGGCTGGGATGACTCTATAGAGAATGATGATGACGAATCTGTTATGTCCATTCTTGGAGAGGGTTTTGCTAAGTTTCTTCTTCTCAGTAAGAAGTATCCAGTCCTTCCTGCTGTATCACATCCTCAACTATTAGCCAAGCTTATTGGCTTATATTTTTGTAGTGAGAATAATGATCTTCAAAGGTAAAATGCTGTCAACTCAGCTCCCTTTTTTTAGTGAAAATTCAGCAAATGACTGGTTTACTTGATAGGTTGAAGCAGTGTTTATCAGTATTCTTTGAGCACTATCCATCCCTTTCATTGGACCACAAGGTCAGCATTATCATTAATTCAAACTAAGTGCATGACTTATAAAGAACTAGTATCCGCTTTAGTCCTTTGACTATACACTATTATCCAATTTAGTCCCTGACTTTCTTTTGGACTCAATTTGGTCCACCATGGTGCAATTTTGACCCCATTCAATCCTCATCCATGTTTCCCCTAATTAGGAAAGGTGTTTTGGTAAGGGCGTTGATCCAAGATGAAAATTGAGCCCTAAATTTCATAGCCAAATATGAATAAGGACTGAACTAGATCCAAAATTTCATAACCAGGCACCAAATTTAGCCCTAAATTGGTAATATGGTGAACAGACAAAAGTTCCTTTATTGTTTTGAAGCAAATATGTATAAGGACTGAATTAGGTTCAAATTTCATAGTTGTGCACCAAATTGAGCCTTAAAATTGGTAAAAAGCTATTGACTGGATGAAAAAAACCTTCTTATTTATGTATGTGGACTAAAATCAGGCCCAAATTTCATAGTTGAGGACCGTACTGGGTAATAGTATAAAGTGTAGAGACTAAACTGTGCATAAACTCTTTAAAAAGCAACTGTAGGCTGCTTGTTATTGTGTTTTTTGTTCTCTCTTTGAAATTGCAGATTTGCTTATCCAAGGCATATGTGCCAGTTATGCGCTCATTGTGGCCCGGCATTGATGGAAACTCTGCAGGATCGAACGTAATGGTATCTAACATGCGCAAACGTGCTATGCGAGCATCATTTTTTATGGTGCAGATGATGCAAGTTCCTATATACACAAAAGTGACCGAAACTTCCAATGATGAAGATGGGACTGGAAACCTTGATGATTCGATGGGCCCTTCTTCAGAGTATGAGAGTGGAGAAGAAGGACTAGCCATACGTATTGGTTCTGAGGTGATTAAAATTTATGAGTTAATCTTGTTCTGCTTTTCTTTTGTTATGGTGTTGATATCTGTAATTAATTTAATTATCTGGCCTATTTGAAAGGTAACAAGGTTTGGTGGAAAGAAGACAGTGGCTGAGAAATCATATGTTTCTGCACTCTGTAGGACCCTGGTCTTGCTTCATTTTCGGTCATCAGAACAAGAGGCTATAAAGTTAATGCGACAGCTATTGACTCATATCCTTGAATCTGTAGCAGCTGAAAAGGACGTTATGAAGGATTTAAAACAGATGGCTGCAAGGTTACAATCTTTAGACATGCACCCTGATCAGGAGTTGTCTTCGGATCAAGTGAATCTCATTTTGAGTAAGAACATTTCTTTTTTAAATGCCTTAAATCTTTCTGGTATTCAATCTTCTGTCCCATTTTCCTATTCTAATATGCCCTTTCTCATGAAATTATATAAAAAGTTATTGATGAGAAGCCCCTCTTGACAAATTGGTAAATTGCATCATGTTGTATTGTTTATCTGTATTTATTAAAACTCTCCCTTCTCAACTATTAACAAATCATTAACAAATAACAATCTCTTCCTTCCCATCCCTCCAACAAAACCCAACCAAGTAACATGAAAACATCTCCCCTTAAACCAAATACAGCCTGAATGAAAAAAGTTTGTTGGAAGTATATGTTAGATCATGAACATTATTTTGTACTATTGTAAAATTTTAATCAGTTTATATGATACTACGTATCAATTAACTAGGAAGAGTTGTACAAAATTGGTGTGGTGAGGAAATTTATTTCAAGTGGCGTTACATAGAGCGGTTTTGTTTGCGGTTTAAGAACCCGTTTTGTGACCTTGTTTTTTGGTCTATGAGTCTTGTTAGTCAACTTTTTCATCAAATTCGTAACTTTTGAGTTGCGTAATAATCAAAAGAAGCAAGGTTGCAGTTACTTTTATGGTTGGATTGACTGAAGTTACTGTAGAGGACCATTTTAGCTATTTTTTCACATTATTTTTCTTTACTTTTAATGATCAAATATATTTTAAATATTTTTTCATAATTCAGCAGAATCAACCAATCTAGCCACTTCAGATAGAACTTAATAAATTTCAGCAGAATCTGCCGATTAAGCCAATTTTAGTGTTACCGAACAAGCTCTAAGGTTTATGTTTAAAAATTATCCGAACTGACGAAATCGGAAACACAGGCCAAAACATGTCAAAACTGACCAAAGTCCATGCAATCCGGCTGAAGTTACTGCACTAAACTACCTGATCCCGACTCAAGTTACTTTTTCTCTCCTTTCCAAATTCCAAACATGTTGAACCGACTAACACCCCTAGTGTTACATCTCTATTGTGCCCTTTTCAATAATGACATCCGTTCGAGAGATTCATCACATTCATTGGAGATGATGGAATATGCATTCTTATCCAGTTATTATTGCACATTCATCATTGTAATTAACTAGGCATTACAAATCTGGTACAACTCGGAACTAGAGTCTGAGCAGAGTGAGATCTATGTAAAGTCTTACGTATACACCTATGATCTGAGATGTTTGGTTCGTTTAAGATCCTGAACTACCTAATTAGGCATTGTAGGATCTAAATAACTAGTGTAGCAGTGTTGTAAATCTTGTTGTCCTTTTAAACCAGGGAGGTTAGATGTTGAAGCACAACTGGACGTGAACAACCACCCCATGGAACAGCCACCTAGCTTTGCACATAGATCAGCAAGACCAAACTGTGGCAGAAGAAGAGCGAGGAGAAAGGTGGCTGAATCATCTTCTTCAGGTTCTTCGGATGAGGAAGTCTCACCCTCATCTGCGGTCCCAGCTAACCCTTGTGTAATGAGCCGGGCAAAGAGGGCTAGCAAAACAGTTGCACTGTCCAAGATGACTGCCCTTAACACACCTGAGGAAGATGGAGAAGAGGAGGTAGAGGATGATGGTTCAGAGGTGACAGAGGACGATGACGATGACTCTGATGCCTTGTGATGATTAGTCACATGTAAGTAGATTCATCTGACAGTATAGATTTATGTCTGTTGTGAGTTTAAACTGCTGATGTAGTGTCTGTATAATGCAAGCAAGTTTGTATAATGCATGCTAACAACATTCATTTCTGTTGTTTGTGTGCCACATACTCTTCCTTTATACACTGTAATAGTAGTTCTAAAATAATTAGCATTTCCTAGTATTAATACTTTTGAATAATGTATGAGCTAATCGTAAAACTTAAGAGCTAATATATTTCTTTTGATAGATAGGAGAAGGTTCTAGTGAGACCCCATCTTAAAATGAGAACGTTTTTAAAATGAGAACTTCTAATTTTCACCATTCATTATTACAATCAATGCCTCATATTGACAAGGAGGCATTTTGGTAATTATTAAGGATCAATTGCAAAAATACCCCATTTAAATTTAAGGTAACTATGAATATGACCCCATGTGAATACTAACCAATGATTGTTATAAATGAAAGGTTGAAATTAGAAGTTTTCATTTTAAGAAGGGTTTTCACTAGAACCCTCCCTCTGCATGGGTGGCCCTGGGGGCAGGGGGCAGCGGCTAGGAGTGGACTCGGGCCGGGCCAACATGCTCGGAACCGGACCGGCCCGCTACTGTGCGGGCCCGGACCGGCCTGGTAAACCGGTTGGTGCCCGGTTCGGGCCACCCGGCCCGGTGAGGTAGGCAGGTCGGGCCCGGGCCTCCTAAATCGTGAACCGGCCCGGTCGGTTCCGGCCCGGTCTGGGCCAAATTATTATTTTTTTCTTTTTTTTTTTGAATTTTTTTTAAGTTTTTGGGTTGGGCTGGGTATGATGGGCCATTTGGGAGGTTTGGGGTGGTTTGGGGTGAGGGGGGAGGGTTGGGGGTTAATTAGGAAAAGCCAAAAAAAATACAAGAATCGAGGCCCGGACCGGTCTCGGGGTTACCCGGGCTGGTTCCGGGCCTCCCCTTTCATGGACCGAGGCCCGGCCGGGCCCGAACCGGAACTGGTCCTAGAGTTGGACTCTGGTCGGGCCACCCGGCCCGGCCCGCTACTGTGCGGGATCGGGACCGGCCCGGTTCTCGGGTCCGGGTCCGGGTGGGGCATAGGCTCGGGGGGTATGGCGGGTCCGGGCTCGGGTCTCAATTTTGGTGAACCGGCCCGGCCGGGTCGGGCCCGGGCCCGGGCCAAATTGAATTTCTTTGGGGTTCCACCCGGGTTGGGCTTGATGGGTATGATGGGTTTGGGCCTTTGGGGGGGGGGGGGGGTTGGGAGGGTGGTTGGTGAGGGGGGGTTAGGAAAGCAAAAAAAAAATCCAAACCGGAGGCCCGGCCCGGACCCGGTGGCTACTCGGGCCGGTACCGGGTCCACTATTCTTGAACCGCCGGCCTGCCCGGGCCTAGGCTCGACCCGGACCTGGCCCGGACCCGAGTCCATCCCTAACTGGTCCACCCCTAACAGTGGCCCTAGGCCCAAAAAAATGGGAAAAAATTAGGCTCAAATTTAGTTCTTTAATAATATATGTGAGTATGATGAGTTTTTAGTCCAAAATTGATAATTTTTCTGGTGAAATTGTTTGAGGTACTTCCAATTGGATTTTTTGATGAAAATTTATGAAAATGTTCAAAAAAAAATTAGTTTAAAATTCAACATGTAAGTCACTTTAAAAAATTATTGAAAAACACTGCAATATTTATGCATGTTTTGGCGCAATGTTTTTCAATAATGAGGGTAGTAATGTACAATAATGTGCCATTTTGTTCATTATTGAGAGGTGTATATTAATAATTTTGATGACACATTATTGTACGTCACCCTTATTATTCACTCCTAAATTTTAACAGTTTTATTACTCCGTATTTAATCAGACTAAATATGTTTTATTTTGAAAATAAAATATACATATTCTTTTTTAACTTTGCTCATATTTTACTTATATTTTGAATAAATTCTTAAAAAGAAATGGAGCAAATGAGTAAATAATTTTTTAAAAAGTGCAGAGGAAATGGATGCGGTGCTAGAAATATATCTTAGACCATACGTAAGAACCTAAGTCCTAAACCAAGTAGAATATTAGTTCTAATATTCTCTCTTTTCGTGAGCGATAATATTAATGTGATATCATTATCCGGTATTCCGGTAATAACTTAAAGCAAACAATGTATCTATGGTTAAGTTAGCTTTTTCACCAAGGTAATAAATAAATTTAAGAGAAAGGGATAGATTAAGGAGTTTGTTCTCTTCATCTTAATATATTGAATTCCACTTTTGTTTCTACTATTTTTGTGCTAATTTCACATTTAGTCCACGTCTTTCACTTTGTCCATTATTAGTACTTGACTAGTTTTTTTAACTGTTTGTGATCCTTTTCTAGCGACTTTAACTATCGGAAATGATGCCGGAAGGGCCATATTTGGATGAAAACACAATAGTCATGTATCAAAAGTGGATAAAGTGAAAGATGTGGACTAAATGTGGAATTGACCTGAAACTCGTAGAATCAAAAGTGAAATTTATTCTAATATATTGAATTAAGTTAGCTTTTTCACCATATACTATTTACATGTCGTAATAACTTTGACTATGTATTATTTATTAATGTATTAATAAATTATTTTTAAAAGAAAATTGTTAAATTTATCACATCGTAAATTTTCAAAATCTGAGTTTTTTAATTTTTACTACTAAAGAATTAAGTATACTAATTGTCAAAGTTGTCAAAAATCTGAATGAGCAAACGTGAAAAATGAATCGTTAAATTCTACATTATCACTAAATTTTAGTCCAATATGCGACAGAATTGAATGTAAAAAGTGGACAAATTAAAGTTGTTTAATTTGTAATCTAACGTAGCTAGTTGTGTTTTGAAGTTTGTAATATAATCGATAACATCAGAATATTCAGAAAGTGTGTATATGAAGAAATTATCTCCACAAAGTTGCCCTTTAAATTAATAGGAGGAAATATTTTTAGATCAAATATACAAATAAACTTTTAACATATTTATGGAGTATAATCATCTGCACGTACCAATTTCATTATTTCTTTATATATTGTCCCGTCAATTGAACAAAAGTTATTCATCATCATATCTAGTCTAGATAGAAAGAAGCACATTGATCCATCATTCCATCTTGAAATTTAAATATACTCATAAAATTAAACCCTGTATCCATATATACATGGGCAGATTATTAAGCTCTTATTTTCTAACATTAGTCATCTCCAACATTCTTGTATTTTCGCAATACTTTCTTCTCGTGCAATCGGCCGATTCCTCCGCCAATGATATTCTTTATAGGGTATACAACCAATGCACTCTAGGTAAGTAGGGCGTAGCATGTGGCCACGCCCTTCAACCGCGCAACTATTTATTTTAAAAAACATTCAGGGCGGAGATAGGGGAAGACCAACCTTAGCTCTGGCTCAGCCCAAATTTAAAAACTGTCTTAAATTTTAGTGTAAAAAATTTCGGACAAAACATTTTCCAAAAAATTTCTTTGTATCGGTCTAGTCCGACACAGTGTCATGGCTCAGCCCCTGAAAACATTATGTGTAAACATTTATTTTATGTATTTTTAAAAAAAAATCTTTATACTAGTTGGCCTGATTTATAAAGATTCATAAAAAAACGAGTAAAACTTGTACTACCTCCGTTCCTATTATAATTTCCAAATAGGTTTGACACAAAATTTAAGATAGTGGGTATTGTGTGGTGGAGAGTTGTGCAGAGAAAAGAGAAATGTGTAAGAAATGTTGTGAAGCACAAATTCTTTACCAAAAAGGAAAAGTGGAAGTTTTAATCGGAACGGACGAAAAAGGAAAGTTGAAAGTTATAATACGAAAGGAGGGAGTATAAAATAAAGTACATAATAAAGTGCACAAGGAGTAGGATATGTTTTATTCTTAAAATAAAAGTTATTTAGTTATTTAGTTCTATTTTAGATAGAGGATGATGGTGGTTTGCGGTTAAAAAAAAAGATGATTGCGGTTTTATTTATGGAATTCCCTCTCGATTTGGCCATGGCAGGTAACTACTCCGCCGGCTCGCCTTACGAGTCCGATCTGAACTCGCTCTTCGCTTCCATAGTCAACTCAGCCTCCATCTCGTCCTACAACCACTTCACCACTGCGGGATCCGTCAGCGGCCAAGGGGCGGGTTATGCGGCCCACGGCCTCTACCAATGCCGAGGCGATTTATCGCTGCCGGACTGCGCCACGTGCGTGGCCGGCGTTGTGAACCAGTTTGCCGGAGTCTGCCCCCAGAAGACCGGAGGGGTCGTACAAGTGGTCGGGTGCCTTGTGAAGTACGACTGCGCGAACTTCATCGGCATGGAGAACAAGACGGTGGCGTTCAGGCAATGCGGGAAGGCCGACGCGGCGGTGGCGAAAACGGTGGATGCTGTTTTGAAGGGCCTGAGTGGGCCCGTCGGGGTGACAAAATTGAATGCGGAGTATGAGGCGATTGGAATGTCGCAGTGCGTGGGTGATCTGAGCGTGGAAATGTGTGAGGATTGTTTGGGGGAGGCGATCCAACAGCTGAGAACGACGTGCAGTGCGGCGGTTTCCGGCGATATGTTCCTGGGCAAATGTTATGCTAGGTACATGATTGGTCAATCCAAGCACGGTGTGTTTTGTTTTACTACATTGGATTACCAGTTTGAATTTCACTTTTTAATTGTTCTTCTATGATACCCAATTTTTTGAAGGAAAATTAGGAGTGAAACGTTTTGAAACGTAAAAATAAAAGTATTTGGACGATGATTTTAATTATTATATTTGTATATAATTTATAAATTTTATATTTTTATGAAAATATGAAAATATTTTGAATGATGAACATTTTGATATAATTTTCATATTCCAAATAATTTCGTATTAAGAAATATCAATAGTCAAAGTTGATTATCATTGACTAAGAAATGTTAATTTGGCGAACTTTTTCGAGACGGAGGAAATATTATTAAGGACATTATATATCGTCATGTTAATACCATATTATTTTGACAATGTTAACTTCAAAATGATAGTAAATACTTACATGTTACTTTAAAAACATAATACTTATATTTTGGAATTTCCAAACATTTTTATTAGATTTTTTTAATTGCATTGGCATTCATTAATATGTGTATTTGTTGGGGTAATGCAGAACCACACAATAAACATGTGAAGAGAGTGATCATAATCGTGTTTTCAATTATAGCCTCAATTGTGGCGTTGGTGCTTTTGGGATTCCTCATATATTATTTGCGCTCTTGGACTTGGCCTTTGAGCTTAGCGATGCGCCTGAAAGATATTTTGAACAGACGCACCAAGTAATGACGAGGCTTAGCTTAATTACGCCCGTTGGCCGATTGTGTTAGCATATTGATGACAACAGCTTCAATTGGTTGTTTTAATTGGTTGATATGATTAGCAGTTTGTAAAATAGTATTTGACTAAATGGCTATTTACAATCAGCGGCTAACTCCTTAAATGACGTTTAAGGACAACTATTAATATAGTACAACTAGTTCAATCGTTTTTAGGATTGAAAAAGTAAAGGTGTATAAACATACATCAATAATTATTTTACACATTTCTTTTCATGAATTAATAAATTTAATTGCAATAATGATATTTAGATTAATTAGGCTAGCCATATTCTAAAACTGTAATGGTGTTTCAAGTCGAAAACATTTTAAATCTCAAGTGCTAAGAGCAAAATTAGATATCTTTATTTTTTTTGCACTTCGATCAATCGAGGAAGCTTGTATAGGTGGGGTAAGATTATTTTTTTCTTCTGGAATGTTATTCTCATTTGATTCAATTTTCTCATCACTCGACCAATTAAGTTACCCCGTGTTAAGGAATGTTATTCTCATGTTACACCGTAAGAGGCAGATACCGAAAAGAGTTCATGGGCAGTATAGGAAATATGTGGAAAAGCCATTACTAAAAGCTACAAGAGTTGGTGTTTAAGAATTTGGTTGATTAGGATAAAAAGCCAATTCAAAAAGCCATTTTACCAAACAGTTTTAGTAGTCTATTGATCCGATTAAAAAGTTAAATATAGTCAAATCAGCCAAAAAATGACCGATAGGCTCTTAACCTAACACCCCCATTATTTTCAGGCATTTGCTTGAATTAGACTCAATTCCAAAACCATACTTCTCTTTGAAGGTTCTCATGAAATAGCATGATTTTTAGGTGACTAATTAAATAACGTAAATCTGTAATTATGTCAAAGCAAAAGATGTTTATGAGCAGTGTTCTCACTAAAATAGAATCATAATATATAAGGATATTTTTACTTGGACTGTAATTTCTCTCAGACCAGTTCAGACCATACCAGACTTGGATAGTTATAAAAATACAAAGAAACCAGACCAGACCAGCAAATTACAGTCCAAGTAAAAACATCCTAAGTAGTAGTGTACTCTAGTCTAGGGAACTAATGCTATATTTTAGTCGCACATTTCACAAACATTGGATAATATTGTGTAACTAGACTTAGTTTATTTTGCAAATTCACAAGTAGGTATAAAAAGAAGCCAAATTATATTCCTAATTAGACTTATGTTATTGAGTGAAAATATGAAATTGTAGATAAATTTACACGGAGTATATATACGGGTGTTGAGTGGGATTGAGGGCCAGGTGCTCCCACTCTATATATATCCCAACTTATAACTATCTAGAAAAATAAAGTAATTACACCAGAAGCTAAGTGTATAATTACCACAACAACAAACAATGAAGTTAATTAAAAATGCAACCATACTTGATAAAAATATAACAATATCAACACCCTACCCACATTCTGCATGCCCCTACTCCTATACCCCTACTACCATAACCCTATCTCTTTAACACCGTACCTTATGTGAAATAATGGAAAATGATTACTCCCTCAGAAGTCCTGACAGGTACGTTTATAATAAAATATGAGTTACCAAAATACACAAGAATTCCTAAAATATATCAACTATTACCTTAATCGTCACCCCCACACCCTAGGGATGAGTTAATGATGAAGCTTTTGTCCCTTGTAACATCCCCCGAGTCCCGGTTGTTGTATTAGCACAAAATACAAAAATGTATAAGAAAATTGGAATTAAAGTTAATAAATTAAGAAAACAAAGAACTTATTAATAAAAGTGACATATATTGTGCACATACTGGGTCCCACATATAGGAAAGTTGCAATCAAAATTGATCGGTCCTGATCGATCTCAACAGTTAGTTTGATGAATTCTTTTCTCATTTCCCTATTGGTTGACAACTCAATGACTCTTTTAAAACTCTTCACTTTAAAAAATGATTTTGAAAAATCAAGACTGAACTGTCTGGTCATTGACCGGCCCTGACAGGGACCGCCGGGTCGTTTACAGGATTTGCTCGGGACCGCCCGGTTGTTGACCGGACCAAACAAAGATCGTCGGGTTATTTGACAGACAGGATGGAGACTGTCGGGTTATTGAGCAGACAGGACGGGGACCATTGGGTGATTGACCGGACAGGACGGTGACCTTCGGGTCATTGACCGGACCAAACGGGGACCACCGAGTCATTGACTAGACCGGATCCGACCTCGTCGGCCCGACAATAGATCAAACCGAACAAGTATCGTCTGATCGTGGATCGAATATGATATGGGATGTCGGGTCATCGACCGGACAGGGGCCGCTGGGTCGTGGGTCGGACCGGACATGCACCGCCGAGTGATGGACCAGAACGGACAGGGACCGCCGGATCATGGACCAGACCGGACAGGGATCGTCGAGTCGTGGACCAGACTAGATAGGGACCGCCGGTTCGTTGATCGGACCGGGACCATCGGATCATCAACCGGACTGACATCGTCGGGTCATCGATCGCACTGGACCGGGATTGCTCGGTCGTCGACCGGACCAGACATGAACCGTCGGGTCAATGATCGGATCGGACTACCGTGTTGTTGATCGGACAAAATAGGGATCGTCGGGTGTTTGACCGGATCAGACTGGAACTGACACGAGCAGGACCGGATCCAACACTAGGCGTAAGTATGCAACTTCATTGCAGCGGCACTGCAGCATCCGTATTTTCCAAATTTGGAAAATTGGTAATAGTCACTTCTCCAATTCATTACGCAAAACAGAGACATGTCTCATTTTTGGTTTTGGAAAAAGATTTGGTAAACGCGTTTTATGTTTTTCTTTTTCCAGTTTTCCAGAAATTTTTTTGGTAAACACGTTTTCTGTTTTTTGTTTTTCAGTTTTCCAGTTTTTAGAAAAACTGGAAAATATCTCTGTTAGTAAAGAGGCCCTAAATGTTTATGTAGTTATCATTATTTGACGGAACAGGGTGTGATTTAATTAAGTAACGAATGGAACCAAGAAATGAAAAAAACAGAAAAATTAAAGAACACCAAGAAATAAAATGACACATAAGAAAACATACGAAGTATATAGTAAGTACACATACAAAAAAGCAGAAATGAAGAGAAACATATTACCTATAAAACTTCTTGACGTAAATGCAAGAGAAGAATGGGTTAAAGACTCTAATAGGAGCTAAACATAGGCTTCGTATGCAAATAGGAGCTCTAACTTTTTAAACCCTAAATAGGACCTAATTTCATCCGGACGGACAAAAATACCCCCAGCTTCTTTACTACCGATCTAGCTTCTTCGCAGACCAGCTCACCAACTGACTCTCACTTCCGATCCGTACAATCGCGATTGAAGAATCTCCGGACTCAGCTGACAACGACGAATATCCAATCAATCTTCCTCGCAAAACAATCTTCCTCGCAAAATAATTGCAGAATAATTCGTTGATTGAAGAACGAAACTCAGATCGATTCTTTTCCAATCGCGCTTTCCGTTCACGTCGAAACTCATATTTCGTTGACTACGGTAAGAGACTCATCCTTCGACATCAATATGATAGCAGAGCTTTTCATCCTTCGACATCCTTCGATCGATTTCTGACTGGATTCCTACAAATTTAGTTTCTTTGAAGATATCTTCTCTGCAAAATACAGCACACCTGTGATGTATGATTTCCGACAGAATTGCGGAAAAATCTTGTTGTTTTTTATTGTGTATCTTTATCATCAGGTTTATTTGTAGAATTATATTTATTGTTCAATGTCATCATACTGCAAAAATTCACACATTTACATAATAGATGCATATGTATTACGATTTGTGTTTACAATTCTGTTTTATAAAACATTGACATTGTTTTGTAAGCGTACAATGTCAAAAGCATGAAAAATACTCCGAATGTCAATGAATGTACGAATGTCATTCTATAATTTTTTTTACAATGGCAATACCAATGTCATGTAAAAGCAATGTCTTAATTATTACGAGAGCAGCAAAATTGGTAAAAATAATACAATGTCATGTAAAAGCAATGATGGATAGTCTACCCGGGGGTATATATCCGAAGGGTTATTACGGGGAGTAATTTAGAGAGAAGCCAGAGCAAGTAAATAAAAGTAGAGAGAGAGTGTATTCAGTGTGTTATCACTTTTCAGCGTGGTTACAAATGAGGAAAAGGGGTGCTATTTATAGCAGCAATAAATGCCGGGCAGGGACACGTGTCAAGCGCTCATTGGCCGATGGGTCACCTCAGCTGGTTGGCGCTGGCAACCGCATGTGGCCGCATTTAATGCGGCTGTTGGATGGGAGCATGGTGCAGAGTACGGTGATCTGTACGCATGTGAGGCGGATATCTTGTCGAGTGAGATGCCTTCGGTCATAGAGCAGTAGCCGAAGGCTCCTCCAACCGAGGGCACCTTGGTGTCGAGGGCTTACAGTACCGAGGGCTACTGTTTTCGCCGTTTTCTCCCAGTTTCTTAGTTTGCTTTGAGGAACCCGCTCTGTGAGAATTTGGAGCCTTCGGCCAGGGGGCCGAAGGCACCCCTGGCGCGTTGTGCGGGCTGCTTGATACTCGGGGCGCTGTGATTTGGGCCTGTTGGGCCTTTTGGGCCTGTTGGGCCTTCGCTGGAGTAGTAGGAGTCTGTGGGCCGGGGGTTCCCGGGCCATATACTCCATCAGGAGTCCCTCACTCCTTTTGCCGAAAGGTACTTGAGGGAAAAGGAGTAATTTGTGCTCGCTCTTTGATGTTGTCCCGTCGTGATCTCTGAAGTTGGTGAGGAGTTGTTGCTTTTATGTCCCTGCCGAAGGCGGTCCCTCAGTTACCCACATGTCGGGACTTGAGGGCTTGCTTTGTTGTTTGTTGGAATTTCACAGATTTTGTAATTTAATGATTTTCCCGAGGGGGTCCTCCAGTCCCCCACTCCTTGAGGCACTTGTAAAATGGTGAAAAGGAGTAAAGTAGTTACGTTGCTGTTGTGGGCCGAAGGCTGACGCTTTTCGTTTCATTTTGGGGGGATGCCTCGTTAAAAACCTCATTAGGAAAAACCATTTGGGAAAAAATCCTAATGAGGGAAAAAGAGTGCACCGAATTCCCCCAATGATGAATCGAAAATGTCAAACCTTGGT